AGAATCACTGGTATAAGGGAAGGATGCAAAGAGCCTCAACCTGGTACAACAAGCCCTGGGGATTTAGGTACCTCCATCTCTACCACCACCTCCCTGCCTGAGCTGTGTCTCTTTCTCCCTGAGACTATTGCAGAAGCCTACTACTGGTTTCCTGCTCTTGTCGCCCTTTAGTCTAGACTGGCCACAGCAGCCAGAGTAATTTTGTTAAAGCGTTAGTTAGATGTTTTCATGAACTCTCAGTGGTGGCCCATCTCACCCGGACTAAACACCACAGTCCTTACCAGCAGTCTGCAAGGTCATATTGGACCTGCTAGGCTCTCTGGCCTCTCTGACCTTTTCATCTACCCGACCTCCCCTTCCTCCACCCCAGTGCTCCAGCCACACTGGCCTTGCTTCTCCCCCTTCCCCTTGCCTGACCTTTACACTCGCTGCTGTCCAAACCGCAGATGCTCTTCCTTCTGACCTCCGCAGGGCTTGTCGCTCCTTCAGGGCTTTAACTGCACCGTGACATTCTCAGCTGGACTTGCCTCATGACAGCATTTAAACCTTCTCTCCTCTCAGGTTATTTTGCTCCATAGCACCTCTTAGGATATTACATATTTTACTTATTCATTTTTCTCCTCTGACTTCCTTAGTAGACTGTATGCTCCACAAGGCCAGGGAGTTTCGTCCGTCACCTTCGGTGCTGTTACCCCAGCACCTCCAAGAGTGCCTGACACAGATGAAGCAGGCGCTCAATTAACATTTGGCAGGTGTATATTTAACATATAAATTAATGAATATGAGATAACAGCAGGGTTCAGCTGATAGAAAAGCTAATGTGACTCTGGACCTCATGCAGTATCCACATATATATAGGAAAAGATTTATTATAAGGAATTGGCTCATGTGATTATGGGGACTAGCGAGTCCGAAATCTGCAGAGCCCATGCCCCAGTTTGAATCCGAAGGCCAGCAGACTGCTGTAGAACCAGAAACAGCTCACTCAGGGGGAGAGGTCAGGCCTTCAACTGATTGGATAAGGCCCACACACGTTAGGAAGGGCAGTGTGTTTTACTTAGTCTACTGATTTAAATGTTAATCTCATCCACAAAAACCCTCACGGAAATACTCAGAATAATGTTTGAGCAAATTACTAGACACCCTGTAGCCTGGTCAAGTTGGCATATAATTAATCATTATAGTGCCTTTATCAAGCCACACCCCAAACCCCAACTCTTGTCCTGGGCACCACATTTCAGAAACCATGCTGGTGAAGAACTGACAACCACAGTATCTGAGGAGGAGTTGAGGGCTGGAAATAGTGTCCTGAACTGAAGTCATGATCAGAGTCAAGCGACATCTTTCGATGTTTGAAGGCTTGTCTCATGGAGGAAAGAAGAAGGAATTCTTAGTCTGGAAGGCACAGCTCAGACACGTGGGTGGAAGGCAAACCTCACAGAGAGAACAGAAATCTGCCTCGGGAACTGGTGAGGTCTTCTTTCTGGCAGGGTTAGCACAGAGGTCCGCTATGACCGGGAGTTAGAAGTCTCCTGTTCGGTCTTGCTCCCATGCTGATTCTCTGACCTTATGTTCGCCATTAGCTTCTCTGAGGTTTCCTCCTCTCCACTGTGGAAATCATAGTAACCTAGCTCATAGGTCATCCTGAGGATCAGATGGAAATAACAATACCTTCTAAAACTCGGTGGGGGCTGGGGCAGACTTCTGTCGGCGTGCCACCTTGTCAGAGCCAGGAGAACTGGTGGTCAGAGGAGTGCTGACTAACCCCTTGCCGCAGCAGAAAATTTCCACTGACCTGCAGTCAGGGACATTTCACTGCCTCTGGCAGCTTGGCTTCCTTCTTATTGGAATGTGCCTGAGGAGTGGCAGTTAACTCCTTTTCCAAATTCCTTAGCTGTGAGCGTTTCAACCTTATTGCTGCTGGCCCCAGGAGAAGACAGACTTGAGCAGGGTTGGTGGTATGTGGAGGGATCAGCCAGGAGTTGGAGTTGCCCCTTCTTGAAACATCGGCCATGTCATATCATTGCTTTTCAGTTGCTTCCGGGTACATTTGCAAGTTGCTCCTTATTTCTTCTTTTACTTACACTGTTTATTCTGCTCTGAAGAAATGTACTGTAGGTACGATGTGTTTAAAACTCAAGTGCTTTATTTTATGGCTGCAACACGAATGAGGACGAAAGGAGTGGAACATCCAGGGATGGTTGCCGAAACATTCAGAACTGTGCTGGCAGAGGGACAAAGGCCTTTGCACTGTTGTGGGTTTTTCGGTGACAGGCTTGATAAAAATGACTTTTTAGCACAAGTGGTTTTCAGTGAACAGAAGATTTTGCTACAGGGCTTAAGTCATAAAAATCAGATAAACACTGAAGTTCAGTGTTGGTGAGTAGCTAAGTCTCAGAGCGTTTCTACGTAGGTTGGCATGGTTATTGTTTGGCAGGTAAATGGTTCAGGAACGTTTTCTTCTGCAGGCATTGTTCAAAACAAAGTTGAAACTAAACAGTCCCCACTGTTTTGCTTATATATAACTGGCCTCAGGACATTTAGCAAATGTCAGCATTCTTCCCAGCACTTCGTGGTACCTGATACATAGTAGGTGTGCACCAGGTGATAAGTATTGTTAGAGGCCATGGTTTATGTCCAGCTTAGTAATGATTAGTTTTGGGCTTTCAAAACCAGGAAGCTTCTCTTATTCTTTAAGCACCGAACAGCCCAAATGCTAGCATAGAGATGACTGTCAATTTGAGGATTCAATCTGGGGATGCAGTAGATGTTGAATGTTAGCAACATTCGGTCAAAGTGAAGACCAGATCTCTCAGGGACAGTACTATTGACATTTTGGATCATTCTTTATCATGGGGGCTGCCCTGTGCATTGTAGAATGTTTAGCAATATCCCTGGCCTTTGTTCGCCAGGTGCCAGTAGCTCTTCCCTCCCAGTTGCGACAATCAAAAATATTTCCAGACATTGCCAAAAGTCCTCTGGGGGACAAAATCGCCCCAGTTAAGAACCACTGGTACAAAGGAAGCTGCAAGGTGCCCACGCTGCCCCTGACCTATAATAGTGCTTTTTAAACTACGGATCACTCAGTTCCATTTAAGGAAGGGCTTCTCAACCAGGGCTGACCTTTGAAATCACGCAGGGAGCTTTGAAATTGTCTGAGGTCTGGGTTTCATCCCAAAGGTTCTAATTGTTCTGGGGTGTGGGCTGGACCTCAAGACATTTAGAAGCTCTTAGATGCTTCTGCTTTTCAGCCAAGAGTGAGACCACAGCATTAGTAGGTCATGGATCAATTTGGCGAAGAACGTCTTTGCTAGCATTTAAATATACACAGTAGTGCCTGCTGATCTGCAGTTTTGCTTTCCATGGTTTTAGTTACGGCTGATCAATCTCAGTCCGGACACAGATGCTCCTCCTTCTGATGAATTGTCAGAAGGTCTGTAGTAGCCTAACACTGTGTCACTATGCCTACGTCCTTCATATCACTTCATCTCCTCACGTAGGCATTTTATCATCTGATATCGCAAAAAGGGTGAATACAGTACAGTAAGATATTTTGAAAAAGACAGACCACATTTATTTACAGCGTATTGTTTTAGTTGCTCTATTTTATTACTAGCTATTACTGTTAATCTCTTACTGTGCCTAATTGATAAATTAAACTTTATCATAGGTAGGTATGTATAGGAAAAAGCATTGTGTACGTAGTGTTCACTGCTGTCTGTGGTTTCAGGCATCCACTGGGGGTCTTGGGAGGTATGCCTCACAGAGACGGGGGGACTACTGTACCTATATATAATTGGAAAGAAAATAGCAGTGCCTAGCACAGTAGTTAGGGTACATTCTATGTTGTATATGCATTAAGGTTGAAAACATGGCTGTAAGCAATAGAACCCATAAACAAAACCCCTGCCCTCAGCCTGCTTTTAGTCTGGTTATTTGTAACCCCTTTCAGAAACTCTTTTGTTCTTTGTTAATGATAAATAGTTAATGTGAAATTTAATACATTTATAGCTGTGTGGCTTGGGAATTTGTGAACCTTTTTGCTGACAGTTTGAGGTTTCACCCTGACATTCATAAAATCAGTTATTTTTATAAATGCTAGCCAATAAAGATGACATGCATATTTTCACCAGCAACTAAATTTGATAACAGTGCAGCAGCTAGATGATAATTTTCCTCCTTTGTATGTGTTAATTATATATACCATAATGTGCTAGGTCAGCGATGGTCTAGATACATCCAGCAAGAATGTGGTACTTGTATAAATTATCCTGAGAGTTTTATTAGGATCTGTCTAACAGCCTCTTGACTTCATTATCTGTGGGTGTTTGGGGGTTTCACAAAACAAACTGTAATATACATTCATCTCACTTCTAGGCAGCAGTGTAAAATGGTAGAAGACTGGCAGTCTCCAGCCATTGTTTTTATCTCAGTGCTCAGGACAACACAAACCAGGTGTCTGTGGTGGTAACTGTCAGTAGATGCTGCAGTTATGGAAGACTTGGAAGTCAAGTTCACTTGCTAACAGAACTTTGATTGCTTGCCCTGATCTTGAAGCCCATGACATGACCATGATAACACTCACCAAGGCTTTCTGCTAGACTAGAAACTCACTACTTGCAATGTTGGCCTTTAATTTAGGTATCAGGAAACACAGTAATGATCATTCTTGTGATAACTCACAATGCACTCTGCAGTCTCTTATCACAGAGTTCTTTACAAATTCTAGTGGCACAGTCCTGCCTCATTGGTTTCTTAACAATATCAGTGATTCTTTGCATCATTGGTAGCTTTGTTGTTTCCTGGGAGAAGTAGCCTTGGGACTGCTTCTTGAATCAGCTGCTGAAAAAAGATGATCTGCCTGTATAACAAAGAGAAGAGGTTAGATTGACAAACACCCATTAGTTGTCTGATAAGTGCTTTCTCTAATTATGATTGGCTCCAGGTGACTCCGCCATATTAAAGATGTGCCTTGTTCTATTCTGTTCTCTTTGCTCTAGGTGTCTCAGGGTTCCATGGTCCAGTTTTCATCAGGAAACTTCTCCTTGTCAGCACAAACAGAAGAAAAGAGATTCCCTTTTAGAAACGACCGTCTGTTAAATTGGGCTCGAAAGGAGTACGGAGCAGTCACTTCATTCACTGAACTCAAGATAGCAAGAAACATTTACATTAAAGTGGGGGAAGGTAAATTTTATGTGGTTTCAATTAATGACTGATTTATGACAATCACTGTTTTCTTTTCAGAGACCAGGTGGTTAGGGCAAGGAGTCCTAGAATTGCAGAATGTTGTATCTGGCAGGGACCTGAGAGGTCACCAGGCCTGCTCCCCTCACACCCCCTCCTTTCTTCCCTTTTTCTCCCCCCTGAGGAAACAGCCCTGGTAATGGCCAAGCAGGAAGTGGGGAGTAGCATGGTTGAGAGGGGAGAGGAGGTTGTGGTGCAGGGTTTAGAAGCCATCTACACACAGAAGTTGGAACTGAATCCGAGGTGAAGGAACGGAGGTGATCACTAATGGGATGAAAGAGGAGTTGGCCAGATGAGTCAACAGTTAGGGCTTCCTCTTACCTGTTGATCTGCAAACATTTGAAACCAGGGTTGGCTTATGATCTTGAGACGTGGGTTAAATTTTGGACAATAGCAGAGGAAAAGTGCTTGAATATATTTTTAATACTAATGCCCATTATAAGGACAAATTATTGGAGAAAGGAACTGTGTGGCCTTGATAAGAGATTTACCAATTTTAATTTCCTTGCCTTGCAGAGGGATATAAATATCTGGTAACTCATAAAAGCACATTTTTAAAAATAACTTCTTTCATCATTATTTTTAGTTGTGTATATTTGGAGCCCCCATTAGTTACTAGAAATAACAGCTCTTGTGAATGAGTCCTTGTTATAGTCAGGTGATTATGTGAAAACTGCATTTCAGGTCTTCAGCGTCCATCGGCTTTCTGTTGAATTCGACAGCATTTGTCACCTTTTTCACAGACAGCATGGCAGCACGGCCTTGCTCATTGCTTGTTTCCAGCCCATTCTTAAATCTGGGCTGTTTGACAGATGCAGGAAAGGTGGACACTGGAGTGTGTGCTATGTGCAAAGGCCATATCAGATGCTTTCTTTTTGCATGTGCCCCACTTAACCTCACCAGTAATGCTAGGAGGAAACCATCACTTCTACCATTGTACAGAGCGGGTAGGGGGGAGTTAAGCTAGCTTGCTCAAATCCCTATTTTTAGCGAGTGGTGAAGTCAGAATTCAAACCCAGGTTTCCTGACTCTCAGGTCTAATGCTTGTTTCCTGGTACTGTATCTTAAGTCTTAGCTAAGTAAGTGCAACCTGAAAATGCAAGTAAGCCACCTGGATGGAAAGACTTGTTTAGCAGAGTAGAGAGAGGAGTTTTAAATCAGTGTTGGATTCAAAACGTTGGAGTTTGTTACTGAACTCTTAGGTGGTCAGGTAGCTTACAATAGAGGTCAGCTCCCATTGGAACAAAATGAAAAACTTCTTTTAACAAAGGTTCTAAGCCCTGGCCAATGTCCTGCATTTCTGAAGCAGAATTCTACTAGTATAAAAGGATGTTGATCACCTGCTCCCCTCTCACTTGGAATTTGTTAGAATAAGAAAATGTGTTACAGTAACATTTAGAGCTGTTGAGCTGTTCTCTTGGCAGTGCATGAACTTTTATGCACAACATTTGCCTGCCTTGAGAGTGGGGGTTAATTAAGTGACTTCCCCAGGGCCAAACACTGAGTCAGGAAAGAACTCAAAGGACCTCATGTCCAGTTCAGTAAAAACTGGTGACTCCTTGGTAACGCCTTTGGAGCCCCTGAAACCTAGTTGCAGCCACGAGTCGGGTATGAGTGACTGGTGCACTCCATGGAGAAGAACAGGTGGGGGACGTGAGGGTCCTTAGTTCGGTGGACCACAGGGTGATGTTTTCTATCACCATGGATCAGGCTCCACTGACCAGGACTCACCATCCAGCTTCCCAGAACCTGATTGTCTTTGGCTAGCTGCCTCCAGGGATCCCAGGCCATGAGCCTCTTTTTGCTCTATCCCCAGTGACTCTCACATGTGGCCCCTGCCCCAGCAGCATCCTCATGACCGGGGAATTTGTTAGAACTGCCAGTTCGTGGGCCCGCCCAAGACCAACTGAATTGAAAACTCTGGGGGTAGGGTCTAGCTGTCTGTGTTTTATTTAGCAAGCACTCCTGGTGATTGGGATACACGCTCAGTTTGAGAACTACTGCTCTAAACCAGTATACCTAGAATGGAAGAAATAAGGACTTTCCATTCTTATCCCAGCTGGTCTCATTAACTGTGAGACTTCCGGCACCAGCACCCCTCTGATTTGCCACGTAAACCTCAGTTTCCACAGCAGGAAAATGAGGACTTTGCATTACCTCCCAGGTTCCCAGAGTATATCATTCCAGTTCACAAAGTCAGTCATCAATCCTTTCCTAAAATATAAATAAGCATGTGACTTTTCCCCCCCAAAACTTGCCAGGTTTCTACTGGGGATTCCCCTTTGTGGTTTCCTTTCTACTTGGCAGTTGGTGTAAGTTTTGATGCCAGGCACGTGGAAGGTCATTTGGGGGGAAAAGAACTCAGACACACACATGTATAAGCAACAGAAAATGATCAGCTTATTAAACCTAGTGATAGTGGCACCTGGGACTTGAGCCCTTATTAATAGCAACTTTTTTTTTTTAAGTTTTATTTTATTTATTTTGAGAGAGAGTGCACACCCAAGCAGGGAAGGGGCAGAGAGAGAGGGAGAGAGAATCCCAAGAAGGCTCTGTACTGTCAGCACAGAGCCCAATGCAGGGCTCAATCCCAGGAACCATGAGATCATGACCTGAGTTGAAATCAAGAGTCAGACACTTCACCGACCGAGTCACCCAGGCCCCGCAGAAGCCTTTGTTACAAAGCTTTCCTAGTGGCTTAGGAAACAGACCTTTCCTAGTGGCTTAGGAGGGTCACAGCATGGGTGAGTTTTTTGTTATTTGTCTCAAATCTTACATCCTTGTTTGTTAATTCAGGAAACCTGTGCCCTCTGCCTACTATATGCCAGATCCAAACCAGACCCACCTATGAACTGAACTGGATATACAGGCCAGAGTCCCAAGAGGGTCCTCATCTCTTGCGTTCCAGACCAGCCTGGCCCTGGCCCATGCACACACCCCCTGACTCTAGATTAAATTTCAGTCTTGCTACCCAATATCATTTTCCATCCTGTGATCTGGGGGAGGCATCCACAGGGCTGCAGCTGCAGGGTGTGCATTCCTCATGTGTTCATCCGGTAAAACCCTCAGCAGATGTGGAGAGGAGGCTGCTCCAGCTGCCTGAGTCAGTGGAGCCCTGGCCTCTTCTCTCTAAGGGGGTCTTCAGGGAAGAATGCAGAGGGAGGAGCCTGGGCCTGTGGTGCAAGGAGCTTGCATGCTGGGGCCTTGTGAGCTCCTGTGGTCCCCTCTGTTCTAGGCCTGGTGCTGAGGGTGCCCTGCTGCACGGAGCCACAGTGCCACTGTGTGTGCTGATATGCACTTGATGGGGGTCGGGGGCAGGGCAATATCAACCCGATCTTGGGACCTCCTGGGCTAATTCCTCTCTCCTAAGTGAGACTTGCATGTGAATTTGAACCCTAGCATCCTGTCCATTAAATGAAAGAGGCAGAAGTTTGTTTCATTACAGTGCCAGGGCTCTGATTAATTACCCCTTCTGAAAAAAAGTTTGCTACACCTAGAACTTCCTTGACATTGGTCCCAGCTGTCACCCTGCCAGCAGTTTCAAGTTCTGTTTAAACATTTAAACCGCTGGCTGGAAATCCCATCAACCACAGTGCTGTGTAAACGGCATGTGCCCTTGCGGGAGTATCTTTAGACTCTTGGTACTTGTATCACTTTCCCTGGTGGAGGTGATGAGCAGCTCTTAGCACAATGAGATGATGTTTGTAAAAGCACCTTGTACACTGTAAAGTGTTATAAAAGCATTAGTCATCTGTACCAAGATTGTGAGAAAGAGTGAAAGTCTGCCCTCACTGTTTTCCCCAAACTCCTTCCTTCAGTCCTTAGATCTATAGTGCTATGACAAATAAATATGAGGGAATGATTAATTCTATATAGCAGGCCACAGAATTGATTAGGTGGTTGGTTTCCCTATTAATCGAAATAGCAAACATCCAAGGAGGAGCATATCTGGTTAGATCATTGATTTCAGTGTTGAGTATGTGGACTATGAAATAAGTATTGGATTTTTAGTTGAGAAGTACTTGGTAAACAGATGACAGCCCAGGTCTGCAACTCAGAAAAGGAGTCATGATCTAGGTACAGGTTGAAGCCCTGGGAGCGATGGAAGTCATTTGGGAAGAATATGAGACAAAAAGAAGATTGAGGGAGGAACTGAGTTCTCAGTCTTGGTGTTGTATCATGATCAACTGTGGAGCTTTTCAAAAAGAAAGCTTCCCTAGCACCACCCTGCCCCCCAGTTCTTCTGACTCAGAATCTCTGGGATGGAGCCCAAATAGGTGGATTCTGGTGTGCACCAAAGATTGAGAATCGTTGGTGTTTAAAGAATGGGCAGAGGAGAGGGAACCAGTAAAAGAGACGGGAGATAAGTCAGAGGAAGTGGATGAGGACAAAGCAGCATCACCAAGAACAGGAAAGGATTTAGACCAAAAGAGGCCACTAGAATTGGTCAATAGGAGGTGACCACATACGAGAGATATTTCAAGGCAGTGGTTAAGTTCTAAGGCCCTCCCTAGGGCTTGTGGTTCCTTCAGAGTCACCATCACCTTCTTCCCTTTGAGTCTGGTTACCATGTAGCTCAGTGGTGTGATGGATTATCCTATGTTTCTTTCAGATCAAGTGTTCCCTCCCACATGCAACATCGGGAAGAATTTTCTCTCGCTCAATTACCTTGCTGAGTACCTTCAGCCCAAAGCAGCAGAGGGTTGTGTGATATCCAGCCAGCCCCAGGATAAGGAAGTACACATCATTGAGTTAATTACCCCCAGCTCTAACCCCTACAGGTAAGTGAGTGAGTGAGTGAGTGAGTGAGCGAGCGAGTGTGCATGCACTGAATTGAAAAGAGATGAAAATAAAGATCTTTGCTGACTTGAGGCAGCGACTCACAGCCCTACCTGTGTAGGAGGGAGACATTCATGTGTTGGGTGAATTAACAGAAGTTTTGAAGAAGGGAGTGAAGGCACCAGTGGTATATTTTATTTTCTGCATTTGTCTCTCGATCCACTGTATTCTAGGTGAGTTTCTGAAACCTATTCTGAACTTTCAGGCACTAATTACAGGACAAAATAATTCTTGCTCCATCATTATCTCCTTTGACTGAGGTTATCCCTGATAAAAAAAATTATAAAATATGCCTTATTAACATAGTTATAATTTTAATCACATTCTGTTTTTAATAAAATTCCATTCATAGCATCCTCAGAGTGCATTTGCATTCATAGCTGTGTGTGCTATGAAGGTGTGCGCGCGGCGTGGGTGTGGGTGTGTTGGGGTGTGGCCCTCCATGACACACCAGAGAGCCATTTGATACAACCTGTCTCTCACTTATGTTCTTTTTCTCCCTCTTCCAATCTTAGCTTCCTGCCCCAGGACTAGAAACTTAACCTTCCCTACCAAAAATAATTAGGGAATTAAAAAATGAATAAATAGAAGAAAAGTGGCTCTTTCTCCCACTTGAGCTTGCATTCCCGTGGACCATTGACTTAAATGTAAATTTATATTGTAGAGGGATTTCAGAGTTAAAATTCTAATCAGATTTTGCTTTCAAAAGTGAATAAACTACACATCAGTTTTGGGAAGATTCCATTTTGTCCCACATGAAGAATTTTATGGAAAATGAAAAGAGAGTGGGAATAGAAGCAATCTGGCAAACGTGCTTAGATATTAAGCCTCAGGCTTCATTTGAGTGTATCATTCATCATATGCTTTACAAGTGTGTAAAACCAAATGGAAAGAACGACTTTTCTTTAAATTCAGAATGACAGAGATGTTATTGTTTGGTTAAAAAATATTCTCTTTTATACTGAATTCTTAGAAGTTTGGGTTGAGTTCATCAATTTTCCAGTAATCACTTGGTTGACCATCTGTTTTCTTTATTTTAATAACTGTATATCCAGAAGTTTGGGAAGGTAAGTGCAGATATGACTCTGTAGCAAATGTTAATGGTTTATGCAAACCTTATATAAGTCAAATTCTCCAGCCTTTTGACTTGTATTTTATCTTAAGTGTCCCAGTTGTTTGTTTGGTTGTTTTTTTCTGCTTTTTGGGTTTGTTTTGTTTTGTTTATCCTACCCAGCCTCCTCTCTCCCTCCCACCTTCAAGGATTTTGAGCATATGCAAATTGGAAAGGAAAGTTACACACTGAAGGTGTTGAAGGTTGAAAACCAACAATTCTGCTTTAAAAGTAAACTCCTGGTTGCCCAGATCCATTTCAAACAGTGGCTGCCTTAAGTACCCGTCTTTTTTTTTTCCCCAAAGAAGAAGAAAAATTTTAGTGTCTAATTATCAGCAGGCTTATTTTTCTATTGTTATGTAAAACTATTTTGTTTTGTGTGCACTAACAATCTGTTTTGCACATGTCATTTGCCTGGGACCAACTCCAGCTTTTTAATCAACTGGCCAGACACTGGAAACATGAAGACTTGGAAGAGAGGAGATAGTTGCAACTCTCTGGCATTTGGGTTCTAACTTTGCCTTTGTTTTCCATTCACAGTGCTTTCCAGGTGGATATAATAATTGACATAAGACCCTCTCGAAAGGATCTTGAGGTGGTTAGAAATCTCATCCTGATCTTGAAGTGCAAAAAGTCTGTCAACTGGGTGATCAAATCTTTTGATGTTAAGGGAAACCTGAAAGTTGTTGTAAGTTGATTGAGCATTTCTTTGTTTTGATGCATGGCAACAATTTAAGCTGTGCTTCTATGTGTTATTTTTGTGATGTTTTTGCTTTAATATGTATTATCTTTGTGAAGTTTCTGCTTCTCTTGAGTTCTCTCTGTTATTTTTCACTTTGTAAAATAGGCTCCTTCTTGGTTGCTCCTGACAAAGGAAGACAGTGTGGTAGCTAAAACCATGGCCTCTGGGGTCAAGATAGAGATTTGAATCCAGACTGCCATTTACGAATTGTGACCTTGGGCAAGTCCCTTAACCTCTCTGGACCCCAGTTGCCTCATTTGTGAAATTCCTGAAATGTATGCGTGTGCTTTCCAGTCAGAGTAAATGTAAAATAATGAGCACAATGGGGCCCTTCATGGTTGACAGTCCAGTAGTGGCCTCAGTGTCATGATACTGAATATCAGCTCTTAATTTGGGGTTAGGTATTTAAGGAAGGTGTGGAAAATTGGGGCGACCTGAGCTCATTGACTATTCTTTTTGAGATAAATACATGGTATTAGCAAACTTTTTTGCTTGCCTCTAACTTCTGAGGGCAAAACACTGATGCAAGACTCACAGTAATGGGGAGGTTAGTGAAATGATATAGGAAAAGTACCCCCAGCCTGTTTCCTAAGCATTATTTCCATGAGGGAAATGTGCTTAAGAATTATATTAGTTGGTTGGCATGGTAGGCAGAGAGCAGCTAGTTACCTAAAAAGTTAAATGTTGAAATTTGGTAAAAATAAATCTTTTTCAAATACGTTTACAGCACTGGGGCGCCTGGGTGGCTCAGTCGGTTGGGCAGCCGACTTCGGCTCAGGTCATGATCTTGCAGTTTGCGAGTTCAAGACCCGCGTCGGGCTCTGTGCTGACAGCTAGCTCAGAGCCTGGAGCCTGTTTCAGATTCTGTGTCTCCCTCTCTCTCTGACCCTCCCGTTCTCATGCTGTCTCTCTTTCTCTCTCTCAGAAATAAATAAAACATTAAAAAATTAAAAAAATATATATGCTTACAGCACTGTTTCACAGCATATTGCACAAACTACATTGAAAGTTCAAGATGTAATTTTTATGAAGATAATTACTTTAGCATCTCTTTGGAAGGCTCAGATTTTTGCATATTGCCTTTTTAAAAAATTGTGTCTGATTCCTCTTTCAGTACCTGCACTGAATCAGTTGGAGAGGGTTTTATGTTTTCACCATTTGGGGGGAGGGGTGCCCCTGGGTTTGGTGCTGTTCATTCATGGCACCTTTAGCGTGATCAAGTAGTGGACAAAGCCAGCACTCCAACGGGGCCGCCTCATGTACAAGCACTCTCCAGAAGCAGCAGGCAAAGCCACGAGCATACACATCTTAATTCTAAAGTACTGTAATTGTTTCTGGTTCCTGTGGTTTTTTTGTTTTTTGGGTTTTTTTTTTTTTTTTTAACTTTGAGAGGATCCAAATAAACCATCACGTGTGAGGGCAATACATTAATTTGGTGTTGAGAACAAAGCCCAGCCGCAATTTTCTGAAGTCAGAGCTGTTTCGATTGCTTTCCCTGGCATGGCCTGAGGGGTGTTGGTGACCTGGGGTGTCTGCAGCGTTTGCCGCCTGGCACACCAGCCAAATGTTTTTAATTTCAGAATAACAAAAACAGGAAAGGGAATCATGCTTTGAAAGGCAAAAAACATACGGGACATTTTAGTTCCCTGTTGGAGTTGTGTAAATGTTCTTTCGGTCCTGACCCTTCCGTGGCTCTTTCTGTACCTGAGCCTGTATGTGTTCCTGGTCCATGGCAGTCCTGGAGTTCACTCTGAGTGTCTTCACTTTTCATATGAATAAGACGGGCTGGAAATGAGATTGCTCATCCCAGAGCAAGATCTGTTTATATTCCTCTCTTTGGCTGTACTTCTGTTCCAGGCCAATTTTGGACAATGCATGACAACATTACTAAACAATTAGGTAATGTTTCATGATGTTCTTTTTTATTCCCCCAATCAGTTTCATGCTTTGTGATTTCCTAACTCCCAGTCTCAGATGTGAATTCTGACTATGCTCTGAAGCAAAGGTACCTGCTGCTACAAAAAAAGCATACATTCATGTTTAGAAAAGGGGAATGGTTCATAGTGGCCCTCTTCATAGTCTTTTCTTTAGAGACAGCCTGGTAGAGTGGAAAGAACCATGGCTTTGGTGGAACCCAACTGAATAATGGGGAACCCAACTGAATTCAAAGTCTGTATTTTTTGACTGTGAAATGGGTATGATGATTATTCCCACCTTGAGAGTTGTTGTGAGGTGTGGCAGAGTTCGTTCGTTCATTCATTCATTCATTTGCTCATTCAGAAGTATTTGTTAAGTCACCAGTGAATATTTCCTCTAAAGCACTTGACAAACTGTATGCACATGGTGAGTTCTCAGCCATGTGTGCTACTTAACTTCTGAGCAAGGGGGAGAGAAAGAGAAGGAGAGAGAGAAGCAGGGCTCGAGCTCACTGGATGTGTGGCTTGAACTCATGAACTGTGAGATCATGACCTGAGCTGAAGTCACATACTTACCTGACTGAGCCACCCAGGCACCCTCCTTATATTTTAAAGGAGAACTAAATAACCTACATAAGGCTTCTAGCACAGTGCCTGCCATAAAAAGGGACTTTATCTTCCTTCCACAAGAAACTTTTCAAAAGATTGTCTATAGGAGCAATTAACTTCTCTAAACAAAGTGAAAACAAAATGTCTGCTGAAGGAATTGTAAGCCACTTGATGGGGTAACTGTAAAGAAGAGCCCCATTAAACAACGAGTGGCATGTGTCTGCATGTAGGGAGTAGGGCACAGGTAGAATGTACCCTCCAAATGACAGAATGGTCCAAAGAGCCACAAAGGGCAGTACTGTGGACAAGAACAGGAATACTAGAAGTATCCACATTGCTATGCCCAGCTCTGGCTTCTTCTTCAGGTCCCCTATGGACCGTGTATAATCACATTTTGGAAGAACCTCCAAAACAAAAGAATCGATGGAAGAAATGTTTGGTTTCACTATTTCAAATGGCCTAAGCCCCTCAGTGTTGGTCAGAGCCAGCTTATTCTTAGAGAAGACATGTTTTAATCCCAGTGGGAATATGGACTACATCTCTGACCAACCTCTCTCCTGCACCATCAGTTCTGATGCAAATGTGTGTTGGGCACTGGAGGGGAAGGAGGGGAGGGAGGTATTCAGACTCTACCTCGCTCATCATCCTTCATGAAAATGTGGCTGAAACATAGTGGTGGTATTTGGAGACCCCCTTGAACACCCCCATTTGGAATCGCTACACTGAGGCCTTAGAAAGTCCTGGGGACTCCCTGTATCCCAGAAGTAGAGGGTGAGGAATTCGCTCATTGCTGGGAAGGAACCAATTTGCCAAGCCTTGCTGTTTTACAAATGTGTAGATAGATTTCTAGCCTTGTAAGTCCCGAGGCGTAATCAATATGAGTTGTACTGACAGCTCCTAGATTTAATATGGAAAGGTGTAAACAAATCATTCCATATTGGTACAAAAAAGACAGGTGGCGGTTGTGATGATAGTATTCTGGAAATACCGTATTTTCTCAGCTGTCCAACAACATGAAAGACTAGGGCAGATGAGGCCAAGCTGTGTTGTTTAGGCCAGTGTTACAACTCCCGCCAATCAAAACGACATGCTGCTTTAAAGACTAGAAGAAGCTGCGCCTAAGAAACTAAGTTTTAAGAACTAATTGGATCCTTCTTTACCGCATTTTTGTTTAGTTTTTTTTCTTTTAACCCTTCCTTCCTCTAAGGAATTTTCTCTGAATCAGAGTAAGAACTAGAATATTCTAACCTATGAAGCTGAGTTTTTCACAAATGGCTACAAAGCATGGTTAAAGTTCTGTCTGGCTCCTTTGCATGCATCATTGTGACTGGCCACTCTGGCACTTTTGGATAATCACTTTGGGTCACAGAAGAATATACTGGGGAAGATCCTTTAAGCTTTGAATTGAAAATATGTGTCCTCAGCCAATATCCCACCACCAAGAGGCCAAGAGAACTTAGAGCCTGTGAATCTTCGATGGTTTTATAGTGGGAAAGGATTAATATTTAGTCATGTTCGGGGCACACAGAATGGGAAACAAATGAGAATTTAGGAAAAAATGCTGCATGTATGCAGGAGAAAATAAGTGGGCATGGAAATTAAAGTGATTTTTATACAGCGTGAAAATGGCTTAATCTTCAGGCTGAAAGGGCTTTCCAGTCTTGTTGGAGCAGTTGTTGAAAATGTGGTGCCTTCGCTTTGGGATGTCCTCCGCAACACTCAGCTCCTTCACTATCTGACACAGTCACTGCTGTAGGAGCCAGAGGATGTGGAAACTCACTATCCGTTTCCTGGTCACTCAGTCCTTTCTCGAAGGGGTTGCTATCATTCAGTTCTAGTTTTGTAACTAATTACCAAGTAAGAGTCAGCTTACTTGTATTGCTGGATACAATATTGGTACTTAGAGGGACAATGACCCAAATTAACTTAATTAATTTTTAGAACACAAAAGCGAAGCATCTTCAGTTAATAACATGGACAAATGAATACAATTAACAGATTGCTGAAGTGGTCATAAATTGTAACTGAAGTATCAACACTCGTTTCACCATATGGAATATTTTAATAGTTTACAAAGATGAGATAGTCTCCACAGTGAAGTAACTAGGTTGTGCCTTCTTTCATTTAAATCTAGGGTTCAGAAATATGCATGGGCATATTTTTGGCAGCATAGCATGCACATTTGTATACTTTATACATCATTTTAAGTAAAAATAAGGGAAAGTTTGGTATGTAATATATATAATTTAAACATTTCATTAGCTCTAGTAGCATAGTAGGTAAACTTAGTGTGTAGCTACTTAGCAATCATTGGATTATTTTTATCAACATAAGCAACCCAAATGGTACGATCAAACAACATGAATAGATTTCTCTTAATATGCTGCTGAAGATTTTCACATCAGTGTTCTTACCCCACGGAGAGTAGGGATCAAGAGAATAAATAGTCCCTTCATATACAGTGTAGAATCTGTTCATTCCAGATATTGAATTTGTACTTAAAGCACTGTTTAGTTTTAGACTCACGAGTGAAATTTTGCTGTTATCTTCAGGCTCCTAACAGTATTGGCTTTGGGAAAGAGAGTGAAAGGTCCATGATAATGACCAAATCAGTAAGAGATGATATTCCTTCAACACAAGAGAATCTGTTCAAGTGGGCTTTGGACAATGGCTTTAGTCCAGTAACATCATATACAGTGGCTCCTGTGGCTAATAGATTCCATCTTCGGCTTGAAAACAATGGTAAGTATGACTTTTTTATTTTTTCTGTGGTAAAAATATCCCCCAAGTGAGGGGGGATATTTCCAATGAGGAACTCTCATTTCAGCTTATATGATACCGTTTTTCTCTTGTAAATTTTGATGATTCATTTGACTACATTTTACTATCAAGCTTCCGGTTTTCTAGAATCATGGTAGATTATTTTAAGGCAACGATCTTTGGTACAGATTTTTCTGTACCAAATTTTTTTGGTATAGTTGATTGCATGTTGGAGAACTTTGTTGTAGACCGCATAATTCACTGTGATTACATTAAGAACAAATTAGTCTGGCTTCTTCTCTCAGAAGTGCCTACTAATCACTGACAGCTGAGATGCAGAGCGGCTGGGGCTCTGGGGGAGAAGTCCTGGGTCAGACTGCATCTTATAGGACAGCAGTCATGAGGTGCTTCCTCTTCCTCACCCGGACGGAACACAAGAGTTATTACCCCAGTTGGATGGAGCAGAAAGTGGAATTTCAACAGGTCCTTGAGGTTTTCCAGAGCCTGTGGCTAGTGAGACTCAAAGCCCAGAGTTTTCTGATCCCTAAACCTGATCCTCACCCCCTGGTACTGCTACCAAGTGCAGTGCTGATAGATTGAAGGATAGGAATATGGGCCATTTGTTCACTGCTTGGGGCAAGTTTCTTAATTTCTGAGCCTCAGGTGCTTCCTCCTCAGTAGTATGGGAGAACAAATAGGCCCTACCTCAAAGGGTTGTTTTAAAGGTTTTTGTCAATATGCAAATTAAAAATCCTCCAAAGCTCTGGCTTCTTTTGGACCCATACAGCTGTGCCATCTTTTTCCAAAAGATAGTACTGAAGGAGAGTGAATGTCCCCAGTCATCTTCACTTCCTGCTCCCACTGAGATGGATTGACCTCAAGTGTTGACTTTGAGACTGGATATAAACAATACTGGGGAAATTTCTCTTCCCTAAATTGTTGACAATAGGACAGAACACTGAGTATTGATTATATGGAAATATGTCTCTCCCTTTGAAGGAGTAAAGGTGCCTAAGCAGCCTTTTCTTTTCTCCTTCAGGATTACGTTCTAGAAGGCCAGGGTGCTCAGACACCTGTTAGAATTTAGCAGGCAAAAAGGAGGTAGCAGATGTTGTTTCAAGAAATCCTTAAAGAATTCATTCTGAAGAATCTCTAGATTCAAGGGACGTATTTCAGTGGCACTTGAAAAATACTCTTGTCCCAATAACTTATTCAAATAATGGACTTTTTAAGGTTCATTTATTTATTTTTGAGACAGAGAACAAGCTGGGGAGGGGCAGAAAGAGAGAGAATCCCGAGAGAGAGAATCCACGCTGTTAGCACAGAGCCTGACTTGGGACTTGAAGTCACAAACCACAAGATTATGAGCTGAGCTGAAATCAAGAGTTGGAAGTTTAACCAACTGAGCCACCCAAGCACCCTTCGAATCATAGATTTTTATGTCTTTTAGTGCCTTAGAAATTATCTAGTCCAATGGTTCTCAACCTTGGCAGTACATTGGAATCATACAGGGAGCTTTTTTTTTAAAAGAAAATGTTTTTCAATGTTTTAAAATTTATTTCTGAGAGAGAGAGAGACAGCATGAACAGGGGAGCGTCAGAGAGAGAGGAAGACACAGGATCTGAAACAGGCTCCAGGCTCCGAGCTGGCTGTCAGCACAGAGCCCAACACGGGGCTCAGACCCACGAACCGTGAGATCATGACCTGAGCCGAAGTCGGACGCTTAACTGACTGAGCCACCCAGGTGCCCCTCATACAGGGAGCTTTAAAACATATTAAACATAATGTGATAAACATAACATGATAAACTCATCATTAATATGTTTTAATGATATCCAGAAAGTCTGATTTTAATTGGCTTGGGGCACAGCCTGGATGGGTACAGGGAATTTTTTTCAATCTCCCCAAATGATTTGAATGTAGAGGACTGATGATCTTGTCCAACCTCTTAATTTTAAAAATTAGAAAACCAAGACACAGAGAAGTAAGCCACTGGCCCAGAGCCACTCAGGCAGTTAGAAAGAGCACCAGGACTGGAATTTAGGTTTCTTAACTCTTCATCTCCTGTATACATTGCTTGATAAGAGTAATTTCACATACACTCATTCTATGCCAGTTCCTCTTGTACTTGCCTCTCATGATGATAATCATGGCCTGGCATCAAACACTGACAATGTTTTGCCTTCTGTCACCACCAGAGGAAATGAGAGATGAGGAAGTCCATACCATCCCTCCTGAGCTACGGATCCTGCTGGGCCCTGGCAGTCTGCCTGCCCTGGAGAACCCACCCATCCGGGGAGGGGGAGGCCGAAATGGAGGTTTCCCCTTTCCATTCCCCAATATCGCCAGGAGAGACCAGACAGAAAGGGGAGAAGATGGGACCGCCCAGCCAAGGGACCCTGTTGTCCCCAGCTTACGGCTGTTTCCTGGTCTCGAAGAGCCCAAGGAGGTGCAAGAGAATGTGGATATTTCCCTGTCAGTCAATTGTGACAATGAAAAGATGGTCGTATCTGTAGAAAAAGAGTCTTTTCAGGTCAGTGCAATTTCTTAAAGGAGAGAAAAGAAAGCTACCTCCCTCCCTGTCTTGCCCCAGAATGTGGTAGTTATTTCCCTCTAGCTCTTTCACTTTTGAACTCCCAGGACCTGAGACTGTTTTCTCAGTTGGATGGGCTCACTTCCCCTTGGCTTTGATTCTCACCCGGATCCTGTTATTCTCAGTTAAAGGGGGTTCCAGATCCTTGTGTGTCAATATTTTGCTATTGAGTTTCCAAAGCCAACAAACACAGTCATTGGTAGGCTGGGAAGAGAGGTAAGGGGGGAGAGGGGATGCAGGCCTCCAGCAACCAGTACAGTATGGGAAGACCAGGCAATACATATTTCCGGTATGCTGCAGAACTGCCTGTGGGCGCCCCCCTTATGTCTTTGGTGGTGGTTGTTTCAGGCCAGCAACTACTCAGGGATGGAGCTCACCCTGTTGGATCCTACCTGCAAGGCCAAGATGAATGGAACCCACTTCATTTTGGAGTCTCCCCTGAATGGCTGTGGTACTTGGCACCGGCGATCAGGCCCAGATGGCGTGATTTACTATAACTCTGTAAGTGCTCTCCAAAACAAAGCTTGGCCCTTTGCCAGATCTTTGCTGAATATTACCTTAAAATCAACCTTAAAATTTCTGTGAAAATGAGCAGAGGCATATACCCTAGGCCTAAACAAAGCCAAGTGTCAGGTCTCAACATATTGGATGTCCTTTGACCCTGAGTCTACACAGCTGAGATAGCCAGCTCCCTGGTCTTTGTGGCCTCATTTGAGTCTTGTCCAGAGGTGGGAGGACTTCTCCCTTCCTCGTGAACAAAAGAAACAAGAGAAATCCAAAAATGGCCCTCAGGAAATTATTAGTGTCCCTCTCCAACTCAAAGAAAGAGACTAAATTGAAAAAAATCTCCTACTTTTGAAATTCCCCAGAGGAAGACTCCACAGATTCCCCCAATGGTAACCACTACAGTAGCTAACCTGCACTTCTCAGAAATCATTCCTGTCAGCTCATTCATCTGATTCTTTTTTTTTTTTTCAGATGAAGCCTATTCTTGTGGAAATAGACACTAGACAGTGAATAATAAAAGAACTCGAAACATCAAGTTTCAAAAGAACTTTATAGTGTTAATTTTGCAGTTCAAGTTATACTTTTGATGGTAAAAATAAGGCTCAAAATCCCCGTGTCCGGCTTTGACATGATGTGTGTGTCTATGCTTCCAGCACCTAGTCCAGCTTTGGCATGGGACAGGGAGGACGCAACTCTCAATTCACATTCATCCCACTGTCCTTGAGTAGATACACTTGACCCATCCAGAGGAAAGACTGGAGATCAGGTGCTCTGTCAGTGTGGCTCATGTGGGGACTGACTCTATAGGCCCAAGTTTATTATTCTTCAGACTTAGAGTGTTTGAGCTTGGAAAGAACCTTAAGATGATCTCATTCAACTTCCTCATTTGACAGGTGAGGAAATTGAACTCCCAGGAGTTAAGAGACTTGCTTAGATTTGAGGAACTAGTTAACAGCAGAGCCAGGACTGAATCCAGCTTCCTGACCTCTCATCCACTAATCTTTCCCCGACACCAGGCTGGCCCAGCTAGTCTCCCATTGTTACTGGAATAATTTATTAACCTTTGACCTCTACAATGAATACATTCCTGCCAATTCCAACACTAATTTTCGTATATTGTCCAGTTTTTCCAGATATGATGCATAGCATATAGTACTGATATACTTGACTTTGGAATTTTAAACTTATATATAAATTAACACCAATAAGAGGCTCTGGTAATTTGTTATGTAAAAAAAAAAAAAAAAATCATTTGCCTCAGAAAAGAAAGGTATATCCTAAGCCCTTAAAATCTTTCTTCTCACACGCATGCCCATGTGTGTATGTCTGTGTGTGTATATGTGTGTATTATTATGATAATAATATCTAGGGTAAGAAATGCCCTAGGTACTTGCTTCAGGTACACCAATACTTTCTTGTGAGGACCTGGTAAATGGAAAGGCCATTTTTCTCTTCCTGTGTTACTCCCTTCATTGATTATTTTATAGAATGTAATTTTTTTAATGTTTTCTTTATTTCTGAGAGAGAGAGAGACAGCATGAGCAGGAGAGGGTCAGAGAGAGAGGGAGACACAGAATCTGAAACAGGCTCCAGGCTCTGAGCTAGCTGTCAGCACAGAGCCCGACGCGGGGCTTTTATCCACAAACCGTGAGATCATGACCTGAGCCAAAGTCGGACGCTTAACCAACTGAGCCACCCAGGCGCCGCCCTTCATTGATTCTTTTAGCTGCTTGCTCCAGTGATAACTATTTGTAGCAATTTCCAAAATTACTATATACTTTTGTTTTGCAACATATTCAGAAAATAAGCACATGAAGCAAAATCAGACCAAAAAATATGACTATTCTATGTACAGAAAAGAAATTAGGATTTTTTTTATGGAGTCAGAGTCCTCAGGTGAATTTTTTATGTTATCTAGAACAAACATAATGGAATAATGATTTCAACTAACATTAAGATAGATTGCCACAGAATAAAACAGGATTCTTTCCTGCACCATACAGAAACTAGGGGAGGAAATAAGGAAAAGATAGAGGAGTACAAAGGTAGGATGAGGAGAGGCTGGCTTAATAGTAGACATTAGGTACTTTGTTTCCAACTCAAACTGTATAGAAATCTCAATGGATACAAATGAGCCAGCTCTTAATATTTCTTAGAATTTTTGATACAAAGAGATATGGCCTAAGGAGAAGTCCCCTTCCCCTACAGGTTAGCCTGGAGGGGCCATTCACCCCTCCCTATTCCAGTGCCTAGTGTTTTCCCACCGTTTGAAACAAGTTTTATTCTTTCACAAGGAAAGGTGCATATTTTAGTTTGAGTTTTAATTTCAATGTACACTGGGTTTCTCTTTATTTTTAATCTCTTTGAAGATAAAATCCTAAAAAACCTTGGAGTTTTCGTTTTCTTTCTTTTTTTTTTTTTTTTTTTTTAAGAAAGGGTGAAAGTGAACAAGCCCAGAGAGAGAGAATCCTATGAGGGGTAGAGAGAGAGAAGTGGGGCTTACCTGGGACTCGTTTTTTTACCTGAAGTGGGACTCATGTTCACCCCATGTAGGACTCAGACTCACCAACTGTGAGATCATGACCTGAGCCAAAGTCAGATGCTTAACAATTGAGCCACTCAGGAGACCTGTTTTGTTTTGTTTTGAAGTCAGATTTTCAGTTTGCATCTGAATTATTACATTGGTGTTTGTGTGATTTGGTGTTTTAATGACACTGTGCTTTCTTTGCCTCTTAGATTGTGATGCAGATTCCATCGACTGGGGATAGCAGCGGCTGGCTAGATGGTTATGAAGATTTGGAGTCAGGTGATCATGGACTTCCAGGAGATATGGATGAAGGAGACACTTCCTTCTTCAGCCGACCTGAAATTGTGGTGGTATGTATTTGTTTGTAGTAGGTAGTTTGTGAGAAGTTGTCCTTTTGGTTGGCTTTAGTTAGGGACTGGGCCAAAGGTTGTAAAGTTCTAGGGTCTTCATCCTTCATTTGACTATGATTTATCTCTTTCGTTTGTTTGTTTTCATTAGTTTAATTGCAGCCTGCAGAGAGTGAGGAATCGCAGTAGCTTTCAGGACCCACTCCACAGGAACATCACTTTCAACATGGAGCTCTATAACACTGACCTCTTTCTCGTGCCCTCTCAGGGGGTCTTCTCTGTGGCAGAGAACGGACACATTTATGTTGAGGTATGAATCCTGAACATTAATTAGCCTTGGGATTTTAGGTTAGGGCTGAATTGTTTTTTTTGTTTGTTTGTTTGTTTTTACAAATAGTTTATTGTCAAATTAGTTTCCACATAACACTCAGTGCTCATCCCCACAAGTGCCCTCCTCCATGCCCATCCCCCCTCCCCCCACATCCATCAGTTCTCAGTTTTTGTCAGCATTCAAGAGGCTCTCATGGTTTGCCTCTCTCCCTTTCCCCCACCATTTCTGCCCTTCTTCTCTCCCTTGTTCCTCCGTCAAGTTCCTCCTAATCCTCCTATACGTGCAAACATGATATTTGTCCTTCTCTGCCTGACTTATTTCGCTCAGCATAACACCCTCAAGGTCCATCCATATTGCTCCACATGGCCAGATTTCATTGTTTCTCATTGCCATGTAGTATTCCATGGTACAGATGAACCACATCTTCTTGATCCATTCGTCCGTTGATGGACACTTAGGCTCTTTCCATGTTTTAGCTATTGTGGAGAGTGCTGCTGTGAACATTGGGGTCCATGTGCTCCTATGCATCAGCATTTCTATATCCCTTGGGTAAATTCCTAGCAGTGCTATTGCTGGGTCATAGGGGAGTTCTATTGTTAGTTTCCTGAGGAACCTCCACACTGTTTTCCAGAGGGGCTGTACCAGTTTACATTCCCACCAACAGTGTAGGAGGGTGGGTTAGGGCTGAATTGTAGCAGCTCCTGGGGCAGAACTCATCTTGTTCTTCCCCACAGCACTTCACCAGTTCTGGGTAAGGGCTTGCCTCAGGAAATACATCCAGATTGATTTCTTTTTCTTTTTTTTTTCTTTTTAATGTTTTATTTATTTCTAGGAGAGAGAAAGATCGTGTGAGCAGGGGAGGGTCAGAGAGAGAGGGAGTCACAGACACTGAAACAGGCTCCAGGCTCTGGTCTGGCAGTCAGCACAGAGCCCGACACGGGGCTTGAACCCACGAACCGCAAGATCATGACCTAAGCGAAAGTTGGACGTTTAACCGACTAAGCCACCCAGGCACCCCTCTTTTTTTTTTTTTTTTTAATGTTTATTTATTATTGAGAGAGTGAGAGAGGCAGAGCATGAGCAGCGGAGGAGCAGAGAGAGAGGGAGACACAGAACCCAAAGCAGGCTTCAAGCTGTGAGCTGTCAGCACAGAGCCCGATGCAGGGCCTGAACTCACGAGCTGTGAGATCATGACCTGAGCAGAAGTCGGACGCTCAACCCTGACTGAGCCACCAGGCGCCCACATCTGGTTTGATTTCTGACCAAAGCAAGACATTTCAGGATTTGCTACATGGAGAGAGCATTTTACAGATAAATGTTTTTTTGTTTCTGTTTTTTAATCAGCAATGTGAATTCTACTAATAAAGCCCTGTTCTTGCTTTGTCCTTAGCATTTTTGGAACAGGAGTTCAGAGCTGCAGTGTCAGGGTTAACCAGGAATATTTCACAGCACCTCACATACTATCTTTTAAATTGAACACACTTCAGTGAAGTGCTGTGCACTACCACATCTCATAAAGATTGAGGTTTTTGGTTTTTTTTACAGCAATAGCACTGCTGGGAATTTACCCAAGGGATACAGGAGTGCTGATGCATAGGGGCACATGAACCCCAATGTTCATAGCAGCACTCTCAACAATAGCCAAAACATGGAAAGAGCCTAAGTGTCCATCATCTGATGAACGGATCAAGAAGATGTGGTTTATCTATACGATGGAATACTACATGGCAATGAGAAACAATGAAATCTGGCCATGTGGAGCAACATGGATGGACCTTGAGGGTGTTATGCTGAGCAAAATGAGTCAGGCAGAGAAGGACAGTTACCATTATGTTTGCATGTATAGGAGGATTAGGAGGAACTTAACAGGACCATGGGGGAGAAGAAGGGGAAAAATAGTGGGGGAGAGGGAGGGAGGCAAACCATGAGAGACTCTTGAAAGCTGAGAACAAATTGAGGGCTGATGGGGGTGGAGGGGAGGGGAAGGGGCGTGATGAGCATGGAGGAGGGCACTTGTGGGGATGAGCACTGGGTGTTATATGGAAACCAAGTTGACAATAAACTATTTTTAAAAAAGATGGGTTTTTTTTAGATCATTATCCAAATGTATCTATAAACATACGAAACTATTTTGTATACATAATGGTAATGATTATGCATAGCATATATCTGTGGAATAACTGTAAAAATACTAGGTAGTGGTGGAAATAATGAAATAATAACATTTATTGCAGATTTATTTTGTGCCAAATTCAGGTTATAAGTGTTATAGTAATTTACTCTTCAAAGCAGTCTGATGAGACAAGACTACTGATATCACCATTTTAGGGATGAGGAAATTGAGGCACAGACTTGTCTAAGATTACATAGTAACTAGTGGAGTTCACAGTAGGGTCCTGAGCAGGTTGTCTGGCTCAAGAGCCCATAATGGTCTCTACTAGATGCTACTATCGTTCATCCTCAAAGTGCCACTTAAAGAGGAAGAAAATATAACCTCTTACAGGTGCAAATATTCAAGTTCAAGGTTAGATTCTAGAAAAAGAGAAATATCGCTATGGCCCCAGAACATCTGCTGGTCTTCCAGGAATGTCATTCTCTGATGAGCTACTTTTGGCACTCAACTGCAAGCTGGTGTTCTGCTTCACTGTGGGAGGAGTGAGAAGCTTACAGGGTGGAAACGGGGTGCTTCCATACGTTCAGAGTGACTTCAGAACACATATTTCTGTTTCAGAAAGACAAATAACTCTCACCTTTGTCCTCATTCTGGGATGGAGCCCACTGGCTCTAGACGTTTTCCTGGATCTCTCCTCTTTTTTGATTCCCTATTCTGAGAGGTCTTCTCTTTTTTAAGTACACCTTTTTTTTCCCCACTGGGGAAAATATACTGCTTTCTACATGCTGTTCCTAATTATAGATCTTTTCTTATCCAAGATCATTATTTTCTTCTTGCGTTTCTGGCTGCACAGTCCACATGTGCATTTGGTCAGTGACTCTCTACTGTGCCCTGGATGTTAGGGGCCCAGCTTAACTGCACTTTCTTGTTTTCCAAATGTGTGCCTGCTCCGCTGATTTATGGCTTTGCTGTTTTATGCTAATTAGTGGCCAGTCTTCCTCCTATAGCCTACTCTGGGGGTTTTGGTTTTTCTCCCCAGTCCACTTGAAATGCTTTTTTCTCCTTATTTTCACATTTATATGTTTTCATATATTGACTATATTTTTCTTCCTCTTTTTTAAAAAATGTTTTTAAGTGTATTTATTTATGAGAGAGAGAGACAGCATGAGGGGATAGGTGCAGAGAGAATCCGAAGCAGGCTCCAGGCTCCGAGCTATCAGCAAAGAGCCTGATGTGGGGCTCAAATTCACAGACCATGAAATCATGACCTGAGCTGAAGTCAGATGCTCAATTGACTGAGCCTCCCAGGCGCCCCTTTTTCTTTTTTCTTTTAATTTGAGTTAGTTAACATACTGTATAGTAGTGGTTTCAGGAGTAGAACCCAGTGATTCATCTCTTACATGTGACACCCAGTGCTCATCCTAACAAGTGTCCTCCTTCATGCCCATAACCCACTTAACCCATCCCCCCACCCACCTCCCCTCCGGCAACCCTCAAGTCTGTTCTCTGTATTTAACAGTCTCTTATGGTTTGCCTCCCTTTCTGTTTTATCTTATTTTTCCTTCCCTTCCCCTGCATTTATCTGTTAAGCTTCTCAAATTCCTCATGTGAGTAAAATCATATGATATCTGTCTTCCTCTGACTGACTTATTTTGCTTAGCAAAATACACTCTAGTTCCATCCACATTGTTGCAAACAGAAAGATTTCATTCTTTTTTCATCTCTGAGTAGTATTCCATTGTGTGTGTGTATGTCTGTGTGTGTGTGTGTGTACACATCTTCTTTATCCATTCATCAGTTGATGGACATTTGAACTCTTTGCATAATTTGGCCATTATTGAAAGAGCTGCTAATAACATTGGGGTACATGTGCCCCTTCGAATCAGCAAATGATAGCATTTCTGTTAGTTCATTTATCTTGGGGGGGCATAAAAAAACTGTTTATATCCTCCAAAATTTACATCTAGAATAGCACTACTAACTATAGCTGGCATTTCTTGACCGGCTGGGAACTGTGTTGTCTGTGTGCAATTGTGACTTTACAGACTCTCACAGTAACTCTTTCTGGTAGGTACTGGTGCCCTTATACTGTGTGGGGGGAAACTGAGACTCTGAGTTCACAGGGCGTGAGCACGCAGTCTCCGGAGGCTCATCTGCCCACCTCCCTCCAAGGCCTGTAGTCTTCCTCCTACTCACTTCCAGGCCATTTTAGAGTAAAAGACTAACTGACCATAGTTTTTCCTCTAAAGGAACTTTTTGGGATACCTTAGACTTTGTGCCACTACGTAGTTTCTTAAAGATTAGAGAAAAGATTTACATTTCTTCTTCTGTCTACATTTTTGCCTTGTGGATTCTGAGTTCGTGTTAAAGGGCACTTTTTAGTAATAGGATATATGTAATGTCATCTTTCCAAGCTATCTTATTTTTTAGAAATGTTGCCAAAACAATGGTGTGAATATTCACAGCCTATCAAACACTATTTCCTAGAAAGATTTCTGACTAGGTGATCTCCCAAGACCACATCTTGGGTTTGGTTGAATTGACCCTGTAGCTAGTGTGAAGTAGTTAAGAGAAAGTGGACTTGAGGTCAGAAGACCTGGGTTTAAGTCTTTGTTTTATCCAGGGCTTGCAACGTGGGATTTTGAACGAGTCATCCATCCTGGATGCTGTTTTTCCTCCATTTATAAAATGGAGATGAAAATATTTGTCTCACAAGATTGTTCAGAGAAGAATGAGCTTTAAGGCCCAACAAAGTGACATGATCACAATCATCTTCATTGTTGAGTGTCTTGCAATTAACCATGTAGGGATCTTTCGAAATAGTGCTATACCCTCTGCAATGTCAGGGATTTCCCCTGGGTGCTCAGAATGAAAAGTGTGTTTATATCTCCACGCTTTTTGAAAGGATTCTGGGGCTATTGGCTTTTGGTTAAGGACTAACTTTATTTCTAAAGTGTTTTAAGTTTACTTTGACCCTAAGTTTAGTCAAAGAATGAGGCATGAGGGGAAAGGCAGTTCACACAGTATCCATGTGTCACCAAACGGAGAATCCACTCTGGTTTGGGGATTTTAGCTGAGTTCAGGATAGTTGAGGTTTGAATTCTGTTTACACTTGGCTAAACACCACTTCCTGTTTCTAAAGAAAAGAACCTTAACAAGGTTTGGACGTAGCCCATACAAATGTTTTGTAAGAGGGAAGTATAATGAGTTGGAAACGTTTCCAGATTAGATTTCCCTTAAAATACCCTGGGGCTTAAAGAGCGAAGGGAGAGTACTTGGCAAGGCCTGTTTTGGACCTGTGAGCAGCTAGGACACTTTGCCAGGCTCGTGATCGCCACCAGATTGCACGGTTCCTGACACCAAATGGGCCAGCTCTGCCTGCTCACTATGAAGCAGGACTTGAGATGAATCTGTAGCTTTACCACAGTGTTTTAGGCTCATTCTGACTTGTTGCAGTTGAGAAGTTCCATCCTCTCTGCCTAGGTTAAATAGATTTTGCCTCTACTTTATTTTTTTGAGCAATTTCGAAAAATAGCTTGTGCTACAGGTGGTACACTATTCAGACATAATACAGTATTATGACATCAGGGGCTTTGCCTGTTGGCATTTGTTTATTTTGGAAAATGCATTTTAGGTGCATGCTGTGATTTTATTTTTTTTCTCCCAGGGGACTTAGAGGAGGTTGATGAGATTTATTCATCTTGCATTAGATTCTTCCAGACCGGCATTGGAACCAAATAATTCACCGTAATCATCCATATCAAGTTTAAATGGAAGACATCTTGTTTCAATGAGTATATATTACTTTTGTAATTAGAAAGAAGACTATATAACTATGCTATGAACATAAAGCAGGGTCCCTCATCAGAAACACTATGTTGATTTGTTACCCTAGTAATAGAGTCATAGAGTAAAAGAGAGATGCCAGCTTGCTTCTGATTGGTCTTTCTGTTCTTTTGTAGGTGTCTGTTACTAAGGCTGACAAAGAATTGGGCTTTGCCATCCAAACATGCTTTATCTCTCCATATTCAAACCCAGATAGGATGTCAGATTACACCATCATTGAAAACATTTGTCCTAAAGATGAATCTGTGAAATTCTACGATCCCAAGAGGGTGCACTTTCCTGTCCCACAAGCTGAGATGGATAAGAAGCGATTCAGCTTTGTGTTTAAGCCCATTTTCAACACCTCGCTGCTCTTTCTACAGTGTGAGCTCACACTGTGTACCAAGAAGGAAAAGGACCCCCAGAAGTTACCTAAGGTTAGTAGGCCTTCAACCATCTGTGTGTTATTTTGATATTTTTAGGTGAGGCAGTGACCTACCAGAGAAGTTTAATCACAAGTTATTGCAGGTTGAGGTTTTTGGTTTGGGACCTCCCCAACTGAAGTAATAAAATCTGTGTTAGCAGGGAACCGTGAGTTTTATGGAGTCTTAGAGAATAAATCCTGACAGTATGACTTTTTTTTTCCATGCATGCTACTTAGTAGTATCTTACAAATGATAAATCAAGACTGTTTTCCATTGAGGGAGAGGTCTGGCTTTATCTTTGCTGTTCAGATAGCACGCAGTGCCAAAAGTACAGAGCCGAAAGGACAAGTTCAGTGTGAGGATTAATTTTTCCAGGTCCCGCTGAGACTTGTATTGCAATTGTTTTTTGACCTTCTCTGTGTGAATTATAAGGTTGACTTGTCTCAGGAGGGCTTCTAAGGGAAACTAACAAATATTTTAATTTTTCTCAGCTTCATATTGGTTCATCATGTTTGCCTTATGTCACTCCCCATATTGAACCAGTACATTCTGTTGCCACAACAGACATCAGAACACTTCGACCTTCTTGGAATGGCTGCGTAGGGGAGATCTGCAAGGTTAATTACAAACCCTCATTGGTTGGGCCTTGTGCAAGAAAGGTGTCTTCTGCCACAGTTTTGTTTCTGTGATCTGCTTTAGTTATGTGTAATTCCTTACGTGCATTTCATCTGTAGGTATCTCGCACAGTGGCAGCTGACTTACAGAACTTTTGTAGTCACATATAAATCAATGTCTAAAACTAGTAATTGAGTGGTAGCATTAATAGTCTATGTGTGGAATTCTCTCTTAATATGTAGATTGTAAGAGATAGATATAGAGGGAGGAGGAACAATTAAATTGTTATTATTGGATAAATTCCCACTGATCCAAATGCTTTACACTGCTAAATTCCCCCAGGCATCCATTTCTCTGATAACACCAGAGAACATTTTATAATACATATGAAAATGTAGCAAATCTGGTCCTGATCAGTTGGGAGCATGAATATATAAGATGATTCAGACTATGTTCTTTAGGTTGCTTTTGGAAACATTGATGCTTTACCCTTGTGGCCATTCACCATCCAGTGGCCATTCGTGGACATGTGGTAGAGAGGCATGGGGTGACTTATTGCTTAACTGTGACACGCAGCTGGTCCCTGCAGCCTGCGGAGGCCTTTAAGGAGTTAAGTATCTAGGAGGGGAGCCCTGGCAGTTACAAGGGGTCTTTACTGATGGCTTTGGTTGTTACCTCTCTCTGAACCTGGCCTGGCATAGTCCATAGCATATTATTCTGAGAAAATTAACCCTAGTACTTCATTCCAGAGCATTCTGAGAGGTCTACGGCCCAATGGATGACATGGGATGTGACCCTAAACCTAAAGTCTCTATTTACACCCAAGGCAAGAGGAAGTAAAAAGAGCATGAAGACTGAGCGGGAAGGCCCGCTGCTTACTAAGAAGACTTTAAGCCAGTCCTCTGAGCTCTCAGAACCTGCATGGCCTCATCTATAATTAAAATATAGTAGTTGGCTTCCCTTAGGAATAGAGGAGCAAATGAGACAGTAACAACAGTCTACCACTTACAGTACAGTGGCTTCAGATGAACTGTTAGCACTGTCTTCAGGTTTATTGCTTATAATTAATATATCCACCGTTATAGTGACTTCTCAGTGCTTTCTATGATGATAGACAGAGCCAAAGAATCTCCCTAGGAGGAGTTCTCAAAGATCATTGATTGCAGCCCTGCCCTTAGCTGATGAAACTAAGGCCAGAGTTAAGTGTCTTGCCCAGGGTCAAGCCGTGAGTTAGATGTAGAATTGTAGACTATTACTTAACTGAAGAACTAATAGCAAAGTAAGAAGGCTTTTCCTAACATGCAGATCTTTTCATTATGAGGCCTTGCCACAGAAAATCTGTTGTGTCCCTGTATAAGGGGGCCATTGTAAAGGCTCTTCTCTAGGTTTGGGGGGAAGGGAAGGAGTTATTTTTTCATAATATGCTGCTCAGAGCAGCAATGACAATAAAGCTAAAAGCCTTTGCTTTTTCTGTGATTGGAAGAGCTGGAAATTCATTAGCTTTGGGGGATGGCTTGCTATAGACTCCTTGATACACTTCTTACAACAAAAGCAAGTAGATGACGTTTACATCAGAGTTTTACCTATTGATAAGCGTAGACAAGGAACTAAAGTTATTTTAAAGAAAAAGGTACTGGAGTGTGATTACACTTTCTAAAAACAGATATACTGGGCTCGGGCATGCTAATCCTAAATTTGGGGCCTTAAAATAACTGGAAGCAGCTGATCTCATGGTCCCCACACCTGGTACAACTCCCCAGGACTCCAGTGTGGAACACTATCACAGGTGACCTAGCCACCTGTACCATTTTGAACGAGCCTGTACGACGATTTAAAAATCAACCAAACTCGACAACATGAATATATTTTTGGACAACAGATGTAAAATCTGTCACTTTCATAATGCAGTGCATGAAGTTTCCCACAATCACAAATCACAAATATGAACCATTTATGTGAAGCCAGCTTGGTGAAGGGCCAGCCTTCGTCATATAGGGTTTTTTTTTTTTTTTTTCAGACTAAATAACACTGAAACCTCTAGTTGTTTTGTGGGAAGAAGAGGGGAAAGGCAATGTATATAAGCCACCCAGTGATATTTGAATCTTCAAGTGCGGCTGAGAATATCCTGGGCCTGCCATTATATCTCCCAGATTATTTATGGTTCTTTGGAAAACGCCCAAATCTCCTGTTTTTCTGTGGTAAACAGCTGTGAGCTGTCTGATAAGGGGCACAGGCCAACTGTGCAGGCTGAGCGGATGCAGGCTCTTTGGGGTGACCCTTGACCCTGCTTTGCTCTCTGTGCCTCTGCAGTGTGTGCCTCCAGATGAAGCCTGTACCTCGCTGGACGCCTCAATGATCTGGGCCATGATGCAGACTAAGAAGACCTTCACCAAGCCCCTCGCTGTGATCCACCAGCAAGAAGAAGTTAAAGGTGCGTTTTGGAAGGCTCGCTCAGAGCCAAGGGGATGCTCATTTTAAGAAGCTCTGATACTAGACCCTTAGGATGAGCCTGGGTGGCTCAGTTGGTGGAGCATCCAACTTCAGCTCAGGTCATGATCTCACAATTCGTGAGTTTGAGCCCCGCATTGGACTCAGTGCTGACAGCTCAGAGCCCGCTTTGGAGTCTCTGCCCCTCTCCTGCTCATGCTCCTTCTCTCAAAAATAAACAAACATTAAAAAAAAAAAAAAAAAACAATTCTAGAAAAAAATACAAAAGAAGCATTAACAGTTCCAATACTGCAAATCAAAGTATAGGTCTATTCAAAAGATAAATGAAGGGCCAATCAGTAACTTCAGAACAGGATTTTTGCCAAAAGAGCCTTATATTTAGTTAGGTTTGCTCTGTCGTGTGGCTGAGTTCTTAGTGATATGTTTGCCAATGATTTCCTCTTGAATATTATGTCAGAGTCAAAGTTGTCCCTATTCCAGTGTCACTCTCCCTTGCCATTCAAAATGCTCCCTCGACTATGCAAGAAAGACTCCAAGTTCCTCCTGGCATGCCAGCATTGAACAGTCCACAACCCATCTTTCTGTGGTCTACTAGCAGTGATTGTGCTGAGTACAAGCAGTCCCAGGGCGGTATCAAGATTGCAGATGCCTTTGGGGGAGAGTGTTCGGTATGTGAACATCGTTCATCTTAGGTCAGAGCAGAAAGAAGGTTGAGGACCACTGTCCAAACTCATTTTTATAATTCAGGTTTCAGAATGATACACAGGTACATTTGTTGCTTGAAACCAAGGCTGCCTCTTCCTGCATACATAGGAGCATTCAGCAGTCTGCATCTTCTTGTAGGAGAAAAGGAAGGATGTGTCCTAAGAGGTGCGGCCTCAGGTAGACACGCAAGGCAAAGCCAGACAACATGGTGTAGGCCAGGTCAGCCAGACCAGCGGAGAAACCGAGATGGGCTCCATGGAGATGCTAGGAAGGGACGTGAAGTCCTGTGGATTGTGGAGAGCATCTGATGGGGATGGGCATCACAGTTGAAGGGCATGGACAAACAAGAATACATCAGGCAAGGTCTGAGGGGGTGGGGCCAAATACATACTGGCTCTCTGGGCAGCTACATTTGTCACTGTCTAGACACATCCTACAACTATCTAGGGACATTGTCTGAAGGTGCCAAACGAAGAGAAGTCTGGGAGAGTGAATGTGGATTCCTAGCTTCTGGGGTTAGCTATTTCAGGGCTAGGTCCCCAGGTCACCTTCCACCACCCGAGAGACAGAGAGGAGTGTGGCACTGTAGCCTTGATAGAAGCCAGCAAGCATCCTGTCTCCAGTTGAAGAGCATTTGCTGGGAGGCCTGCCAGGTGGAGCTGACATCTGCTGTAGGCTTGGGGGCAGCCCTGGGATGGCATTTCTGACATAAGCAGTGTGGATTTGGCAAGACAAGGCATCAGGGGCTAATAGGATAGGGACACAGGACCTCATAGAATAGAGGCATGTGGCTGCGTCTATGTTCTTCTTTGGTTGAGTGACCTCTGTGAAAACAGCCGTTCTTACTGACATATCTGGTGGTGGCATTTGCCTTCTTCCTAGCGCTCACTTTGGAAAGGCAGAAGCCTGGGGCACAACTCTTAACTTTACTTGCTAACTGGCTATGGGACTTTGGAGATCTCTCCTTATGTCCTTGACTTTCATATTCTTTAATTTTTTTAAATGTTTTATTTATTTCTGAGAGAGAGAGAGAGAGACAGCGTGAGCAGGGGAGGGTCAGAGAGAGAGAGGGAGATACAGGCTCCAGACTCTGAGCTAGCTGTCAGCACAGAACCTGACGCGGGGCTCGAACCCACGAACAGTGAGATCATTACCCTAGCCAAAGTCAGGCACTCAACCAACTGAGCCACCCAGGCGCCCCTCATTTTCTTTATATCTGGAAGAAGAAAGAATTTAGATCAGATGACTTCCAGAGGCCCTTTCAGCTGTAACATTCAGCTATACTGTTTGAAGAAGCAAATTAGTTTTTAATTCATTTCCCAGCCATCCTGAAGGTGGTGTGAAATGTACGTATTAGATGTTTATTGGTTCCTCAACAACGCTTTTTGTTGTCGGTTTACTTTTATTGATTGGTTTTTAGTCATTTGAAACAGTGTAACAGCCAGTCTTTCTGTAAATGGATTGCCCAAATAGTTCCTTGTTTTGGGGGATGGGGGGGCGGGGAGGGGAGGGAAAGAAAGAAATTAATTGTGTTGCAAAGTATATCACAGTTGGGCAACATCTGGCTCATTTTGTACTTTTGTGAAAGTGGTTTGACAATAACAGCAGCTACTTGTATTCCGTCTGTTACTCTTACCTTTTTTGAGAGAGGTAGAGAGAGGTAGTTCCGCTCTAATTGAAGGCAGCAGCTTGCTTTTTTCTATGCCAGACAATAATTAGGCATTAATACGCAGCAGTATAACTTCCAGTAATTCATTCATGCTCCTTTTAACTTTGGTGGTATTTTTCTAAGTAATTCCTCTTGTAAATTAGGTAATTACTTTTGTTTAAACTTAGTGTAATTATCCTGAAAGTTCAGTGTTGGTTGGTTTTTTTTTTTTTACATGAAAGTTCAAGAGGAAAAGTTTACCAAATATCAAAGCAGTTTCATGAGATTTGCTGATTGAGAATAAATTTTAGTGCAGAAGCTTGTGGTGAAGAAAGTTTATTGCTTAGGTTTGTTAAACAAATGCAGATTAGACTATCAGCCAGCTTCCCAGGGGTTCTGTGCAAATAGGTTTCCTAACTTTGCACTGAATGGGGTAGGTTTTCTGGCAGTTTTCAGCTCTCTGAGTGATGCCTCTCACCTTTGATGTTTATTTTCTTTTGATTCTGAAATCATTTCTCCGTGATGCAGACCATTGGAGTCTGTGCTTTCCCTCTGCCTCTCAGTAAATTGGAATAATCAAATGAAATGGGGATGTGACCATTTGCCTAATAGCATTAGGTTATTTGAATGATAACTGGGTCACAAACAGTCTTCCTGCCAACTTCGTGTGTTCTTTTGTAAGCCACAAGTCCTATCGTAATCTCTGGAAGTATCTTTTATTGGAATGAATTTGGGGGGTTGACATTTTAGCCACACAGGTGCTCTTTGAAGGCCCTGCCAAAGTGCCAGGTCTCCCTGGTCAGTTGGTGCATCTTATTTCTCAACACTGCGTTTTCTGGGGCAGCAGCAGATAAAGTCTCTGGTTATCAGCTTCTCAGCCAAACAGAGAGCTGCTCTGTAGCTCCCAAAGCTAATGGTGGTCACATTTCAGGTGGTGTTTCTTCCTCCTATAGGCACAGAGAACAGGACATCAAGACTGAATAATTCTGGGTCCCTCCTCTGGGCCACTGTTTTCATTTTTGTTTTTTAATTTATTTATTTTGAGAGAGAGCACCTGAGTGCACACATGCGTGAGGGAGGGACGGGGGGGAGGGGCAGAAGGAGAGAGAGAAAGAGAAGATCCAGAGCAGATTCTGCACTGTCAGCACAGAGCCCTGCTTAAGGCTCGAACTCACAAACTGTGAGATCATGACCTGAGCCAAAGCCCAGAGTCAGATGCTTAACCACTGAGTCACCTAGGTGCCCCTGGGCTGCTGTTTTTAATGGAATATGCCTGAGCTTCCACAGCACATAGTCACCATCTTAGTCCCTTGGTAGCTAGCGTTGGCTTAGCATTATTTTGCTGCTAAAACTTTCAACAGATGATTGTGCTGGTGGTGATGATAGTCATGGAGATGACGACAATGATTAACATTTACTGAGCATTTGCTTGCTGCAAGGCTGTATGCTGAATGCTTCATGTGGGTAATCATATTTAATCCACATAGCCCCTCTGTGAGGCAAGTATAGAGCAATATTAGGTAACCTGACCAAGGTCACACCACATCTAAATAAATGGTGGATCTGAGATTCAAATCCAGGCAGTTTGATTCTAGGGCTTGTGTTCTGTAAACCCTATGCCTTATCCTAGGTGGAGGCTGATTCCAGTTTTTAATAAAAACTGAAGCACCAGGGGTGCCTGGGTGGCTCAGTCGGGTAAGCATCTGTCTTCAGCTCAGGTCCTGGTCTCACGGTTCATGGGTTCAAGCCCTGTGCAAGGCTCAGGCTTTGTGCTGACAACTCTGTGTCTCCCTCTCTCTCTGTCTGTCCCCTGCTCACACTCTGTCTCTATCTCAAAAATAAACATTAAAAATTAAAAAAAAAAAAACTGCAAACAACATAGATACCTATCTCTTCACACCCTCTGCACACCCCCTTCTCCTATTCATGCCATTTCACATTGACATTCAAGTTCACACTCAAATACTCTAACGATTATGAACTGAAAAGATGAATTTTAGGAGCAAATCTGTTCCCCAAAGGGTAAGATGTTGGGAAACATGTAAGCTGCTTAAGAGAATATTAAAATGTAGAAGTTCTGTGACTTTGAATTGTAACTCACAAAAAAGCCCAGAAAACATGATTAGCTGATGCATATTGTGGTTTATGGCAAAACAATTAAAATAGTTGAGGTAGTGCCATCCTACCATATTTTCTGAAATATTTTGAAGTATAGGCATGTTAGTGCTGTTTGGTTTGGATGCTGTGACCATTTTTGTGGCATTTCAGAACACACTGGGGCTTACACAATAAAAATGGCTATATCACATCAGTGATGATTTTTTGAAAATGGTGAAAGAGAAGAATAATCATTTTTCTGAAATTTAGGACACATATCAAAAAATGAGTGAGAAAGAACAATAAACATCATCCCCAAGTTTGCTATGATTTATATAAAATATGTAATTTTTAGCAAATTAAATGTTCAAAATACTGAATTTCCACTATAGAACTTTTTAAAATAAGTGTGCTCAGGACAACACTTGGCATATCATGGGCACTTGGTAAATGTTCATTTCCTTTCCTTCCTCTTAACCTCTTAGCCAAACTAGGTTTTTGTGGGGAGTAAGGGTGGAAGGGGAATGAAAGGGAAAGTTGTAAACGTCAGTGGGAAGTTAATCCAATAGAGGCGTTACTTTTTGGAACATATTTGATTTTTCCAGAACAAAAATTCTCTAAAGCACCCAGCCGGGTTTTGTCCTAAGGCTGAGGAAGAGATGAGGGGAAGCTGAGTAGAAATATGGTAGAAATGCTTAACTGACAGACCAAGACATTCAGTCTTTATCGAGCAAGGGAGAGGGGTATTGTAGGGACTTTTTCTTTGGAAAATGTCAAGAATAGAATGGAATGGAATGGAATGGAATGGAATGGAATGGAATGGAATGGAATGGAGAAAAGAAGAGAATTAAGAGAAGAGAAGAGAAGAGAATAATGGACTACCACATATCCTCCATCTAGTTTATATAACTACCAATTTATGGCCTAACTTGTTTAACACTTTCTGTCCCTGAATTGTTTTGAAGGAAATCCAGACCTTGCATCTCATCCATAAATATTCCAACATGCACCTCTAAAAGTTAACCATCAAAAGATTGGGGTACCTGGCTGGCTCAGTTGGTGGAGCATGTCACTCCTGACCTCTGTGTTACGGGTTTGAGCCCTACGTTAGGTGTGAAGATTATTTAAAAAAAAATAAATAAGTAAAATCTTTAAAAAAAAAAAAAAAGACCTTGGGTAGTGAACCAGTGATCGTATCATTTAGGAAGACTACTCTGAAAGCAGCATGAAGGTTGTTTTTGGGAGATGTACACAGTAATAAGATATACATGATAATTATGTTTATTCAAGAAAATGTTTATTGGTACCCACTATATGCTTGGCATATAGTAAACCCATTAACCCATCTGTAAGGCCTTCTGTAGTACAGAGGTTTATACCTTGACTCTGTTGATGTTTTAAGCTGGATAATTCTTGGTTGCAGAGAGCTGTCCTGTATACTGTAGGATTTTGAGCAGGATCCTTGGTCTCTGTCCACTAGATGCCCATAGCAAATGGGCAAATAGCAAATCCCTGCACTATCCATTGTAACAACCCAAAACATCTCCAGACATTTCCACATGTCCTGGTGGTGTGCAGCATGCAAACATCACCCCAGGTAAGAACCAGTGATCAAATGGAAGGGTGCAGATAATGACAGGGCAATTGCAATGAATGCCATAAATATTGAAAGAACCTAGAGAAGGGGTTCGTTTACAGTGAAATTGGTAAAACTGCAGGTTAAATGCGGTCTGCACAGAGGCCTCCTGAGTCCCCAGCTTCCTCATCTCCCAGTCTTTCCCTCTTTGCCAAACACTAATAGATGTGGGTACCAAGTAGACACCTTGTTTCCTTGTGGGCCTACTCGATCTTACCATATTTAGGAGAACTAAGTTGAACGCTGGAAGCTCAAAGCTGTGGTCAGTTACTCATGCATAACCCCAGAAATATCCCATTTATGAAAACCATGCCCAACAATCTGAAATTTGGTTCTAGAGGCAGACCAAAATTTGCTCAAGAGTATATGAAAAGATTTAACTCAGAATGTTGATTATAGTTTGTTCTTTCTACAAATGAATCTCTATTGTTAAAATTCTCTTTGCAGCAATAGCAAGGATTCCTTTCTTACCATCTTACCCTTAAACCAAAAGTAAATATCACTGTGTTCCCGTTTTCCTTTCAGCATGCCAGCTCGATTATAGGGTTCCGGTGGAGATTAGACTCCTTTAGTCATACACGGGGGTTATTGGGGATTTTTGGAACAAAAAGGAGGATAAAATCCTATAACCTCAGTGCTGCAGCTTGTGCTTGTTATTGTTTATGGAGGAACTTCACCCCAAGGGAAATAAGCACCAAATGTTTCTGTTTAGCTGCGAGAAGGCCTCTATTTGGGGTGGGGGGAAAGGATTAGATCATAGTGTAAGTCCATTAAGAGTTTTAAAACAATGCCATCCATCACACAGGCCTTGCTCTAAAACCCAAGTTTCACATGTGAGGTCTCCTTCAGGGAGAGTCATTATTTAAAACCACTTAGGGATTCTGAGTGACAAAGTTTAGCCATGGGCGGTTGATTGGATGGAACTCTTCCCAGATGCGTGTATATTTCTCACATGATGAACACTATAGAGACCTTTAAATGTCTTTGGACTTAGTTCAGCGAATCAAACCACTGCATCTTGGAGGTGGAATTTTGTGGTTAGATACCCCTACTTCATAGGCTTCTTGGGAGTTTAAAATGAGAAAATCCAAGAGAAGGCTTTTTGTCAATTGTAAAATACTACACACATGGATAAATGTTAGGCATCACCTTCATTATTTTATCACTGCCAATAGGCTGTTGGGACCAAACTCCTGGGAGAGTCTCCCATTTTGTAGTCGGTGTGTGTTCTGCCCTACTGAAATAGATTTTCTTAAAAACACACATTCATTTTAATTTTAGTAATTCTGTTGCAGTATAGCCTGCACATGTCCTCACCCCCGTGCCACCATGTTGCACAACTCCAGGGGGCACCATTCAGTTGTGGTGGCTTTGATCTTTCTGGGAGCATGCCTTCCCCTAGAGCTGGACCACCATACCTTGCGCTGCAAGAGTGTAGAGAGCCCAGCTGAGATGGTTAATCTTGAGAATTTATAATCCTCTGTAGCGTCTTTATTTTTATAAACAGTGACCTTGAATGCTACTTGTTTGGTCAGCTTTTCGCAAGTTCTTTTCACTCCACTGTGGATTCCAACACAAGGTGTGTGTTCCCTCTTTATGGAGTGGATATGGAGGTGAAAAGAGAGGTGCTAAACACTGACCACTCGAAACTCTAAAGAGCCAGGGAGAGTCTGTGCCAGGACTCAGCACACTATTTCTCTGAAGGACCAGATAGTGTTTTTGGTTTGTTCCTCATACAGTCCCTGCCCTCACTACTCAGTGCTGCTCTTACAGGGTGCTAGCGCAAACAGTCGTAAACAGTACAGGAATGATGAGCATGCTTGTATTCAAAGAAAACTTTATTTATGGGCTAGGTTTGAATGTCACATAATTTTCATGTCACAAAATATTCTTTTGGGGTTTTTTCAGTCACCTAAACCTATGAAATTTAGGGCACATGGGTGGCTCAGTTGGTTGAGTGTCCAACTCTTGATTTCGGTTCAAACCATTATCCCAGGGTCGTGGGATAGAGCTCTGTGTTGGGCTCTGTACTGAGTGTAGAGCCTACTTAAGATGCTCTCTGTCTCTCTCATTCTCTTTCTCTCTTCCTCTCTTCCCCCTGCCTCTCTCCCCTGCTTGTGCATGCACTCTCTCTCTCTAAAAAAATTATAAAATAAAAATAAAGGGGCACCTAGGTGGCTCAATTGGTTAAATGTCGGACTTTTAATTTTGGCTCAGGTCATGATCTCGCAGTTCGTGAGGCTCTGTGCTGAGAGCATGGAGACTGGTTGGAATTTTCTCTCTGCCCCTGCCCTGCTCGCTCACGCTTTCTCTCTCTCTCTCTCAAAATAAATGAGTAAGTAAATAAAATTTATTCTTAGTTCATGATCTATGCTTTTCTCACTGTTAGTCACAAGTATCTTCTTAATCAGTGTTTTCCTGTTAAGGACAGAGTGACACTCCCTAGTCATTAGCCTACTAAGCGTACTAATAGGAATCTGGAATTTGAAATCAGCCCCTACCCTGATGCTTTCCAGCTGTGACCTTGGGCAAGTCACATGACATCAGAGTCTCAGGATGCTCATTTGTAAAATAGTGATAAGAATTCTTTTTCTGCCTCCCTTACAGGGCTGGTGTGAACCTCAAATGAGGTTTGAACATGAAAGCATTATAGGAATGTCAAAGCATTTTCTATATAGCCTTATTCCAAGCTTCTTCTATTGTCTCCATTTTTGAAAAGTGTATCAAGATTCTAATCATCCTTCACTGAATATTTTCTGGCCGGCCTGTTCTATGCTAGGCTGAGCGCTGAAGATGTACAGATGAGGAAGAACTTGACCCCACCCTCAGGGCAGAAAAAAATGTCCAGGATTACAATGCGATGTAGTATATGTACAACTGTGGGGTGGAGGAAGCAGAGGGGTAGAAACTGGCCTGCTGGGATGGAGGTTGGGGCAGTGGGAGAGTCAGAGAAGGCCTCCCAGTGAAAATACCAACTATGTGGGTCTGGGACAGGAGGGTATTTCAAGGAATGGCTTGCAAAGCGTGATGACATAGAGCAGCATGGAGAATTCAAGGAGCTTAAATAAATATGGGTAAACGACCTCTAGGAAAGGAGGCTATGGACAGGTCTGTAGAGGAGGAAGGCAGAACTTAGTGTGCTGTGCTGGAGTTTGAGTTTTCTTTCCTGTGAGTGCAGGAAGGCATGGAGCAGTTTAATCAAGACAATAACATAATCAACTCTGGGCTCTGGAAAATTCAGTCGGGGGGGAGAATCTAGAGGAGGAAATATTTGGAGCAGGGGCATCAGGGCAGTGGGTGGAAATAAGGAGACCAGTTAGGAAAGCTCTGTAATAATGCAGACGTGTGATGAAAGGGAGCTGAACTAGAGGGTGATAGCACCAAAGAAAGAAGAATAAAGACAGTTTTACAAAATTTGTGTACATTAAAGAATTTTTTTTCAAAGTGGAAGAACATTATGAATACACTGGAGAAATATGGTATTTAAAGGTATCCAATCCTCTTAATAAATATAAAGGTGTGTACACACACACACACACACACACACACGTATGTACATTGTCAGACTGAAATTCCTTAAGTTGGCCTTCAGGTTTTCTTCAAATTGGAGAACCTATGCAATTGAGGCTTAACAAAGTGCAGTGCTTAAAATTTCTGAGTAACCCATGTTACAGTTTTGACATCTAAAGAGGATAATTGAACAAAGGTTTCACGGAGTATTTATTAACAAATAGGAAAGTGTCAGTCTCTGCTCAGATTTGATGACCTTTTGCTTAAAACTTGGTTTCTCTGTGGAATGCTCGTGATTTATGTATTTTTTTCTTTCCTTTCTTTTCTTTTTCCAGAAACCAGTCTAAGCATTAAGGAACCGAATCCAGTTCCTCCACGTAAGTCTTTATGCATCTATTTTGAAATGAAGCCTCTCGGGCTTTTTATAAGAATGAGTTGGTTAAGGAGCATTTGGCAAGTTTTCAGTTTTGATAAGGAGACTTCTGCTCTCATTCCCCTTCTCCCCCATTTTTTTCATAATCTTGTACTTTCTTTTTCCTTTCCTTCATCCTTCTGGGGTTTTTTCCTGTCTGCCTCTTTAAAATACGAATGTGTTGACCCACTGGCATGTGTGGCCTTACTTAGCTTTAGAGAGAAAGGTTCATTATCTGCATACTTTTATCAGTTGTGATCTCAAAGCATTAACTTAGAGCGATGAGAGTGGTTTGCTATCCTGTCATCAACAGTAATTACCTGCTCAGCGAAGTAGTGCTAAGGGAACTAGTTGCTGTGTCTTCTAGACAATCTCTAGTCCAAGGTGGGGTGGATTGTAGGGGATGTGGGGAGACTTGTATGAGAAAAAGAGACAAACTGCTACAACATGACGCCTTGGAAATCATCTGGGCCAATTTTATCACTTGCTATGGATGAAAACTCTGACCAAAAGATATTTAGGGGACTTGCCCGTGGTTATAACTGGCAGTCAGGCAGGACTAGAGCCTGGGCTTCCTAGAAGCTCTTCTACATGATGTTGCCTTGTGAGGAGAATCTGTGCTTTTTCTTCTCCCCTACGACTGTCTGGGTCAGTCTCTATGGCCGACCCCATCACATTACACTTGAACGGCTAGGGAGTTCCTTTATGCAAAGCACTAAACTGTTCTCATTAAGGATCTTACTTGAACAATATTGTGGAGCATTATCATGAACCCACAAAGAGACACATATGGACGCATTTCTCTCATAGTTACCCAGTCTGAGTTTCATAAATGACATCTCCATTTTTAGAATTTCAAATGAGTTTTACCGAAAACCTTCATTCATGCCTCATTTTTGCATCTGTAAGCATAAAAAGGCAAGTCATCTGATAACACTCGCAGACTAGACTAAATTGTGTTGATGGCTTGATTTGTCTTAACCTCCAGAATTCTTCCCAATTCTTACTTCTTCTTCAGGATCCCCAGATCTTTTACAAACTCCCTTTTCTTCACCCCCTGCCTTCAGCAGGTGAAAAAGTACAATCCCCACTTTTCATAAGCTAACACACCAAAGGGCACATGCCTAGAAGAGTAGCCACCAGGTTGGGAATTCCAAATTTCCAGAATCGTTGCCAGCATGACCTCCTTTTCCTGAGCCCTTATGAATTAGTTCTGGGGCTGCTCAGGGAGTCACATTTGTCTACAATTAGATCTTTTACACTGAAGTGAGATGAAAGGCAAAATGATTTAATTCATATGGACATCAGCTGGAGTTGCTTCTGACTCGAGAGGAACGTAGAAATGGTATTGAAATACTGGGGCGACCCTACACCTTAAATTTATATTAAAACACAGACACCTTGGAAAGTTTATTCTACTGAAAACCTTTCTCTCTTAGAAAGTGATTTTAACTTTGTATAAGTGATTCAAAGAAGGTGGTTTTCAGGAAATGTTCTATTTCTGTGACCTGGAATTAATTTCAAATATAAACATCTTTGCCAAGTGGAGGAACAATTGGTTCTATTTATATGTTTTGCTGACCACAAAACTGACATCTCTCCACACCGAGATGTGTTTCCGTCCCCCTCGTAGAAGGATCACGGTTGGAAAAGTGTTAAAGGGTAGGTTGTTTTAAACGATACAGTACATAATTGTTAAGAAGGAGGGTTTGATCTGAGACGACTAAAATGTTAGAAGCTCTAGGAAGAGTTGATCCTTACCTCATGTTTCCTCCTTGGCACCTCCTTTCTTCCGGTCATCTGTCATACTTGTAAATGTTCATGAAAACATGTTTGTAGAGTATGTGAATTGTGTTTTCTTGTCTCATTGTTCAAACTGTTTGATGAATAAGAAGCTATGGGTCACGTTTCGATCATGGAAGTTCATTTTCCAAAGCGTCTTCACACAGAGGCTGTAAACTGAGGAGGATATCTTGGAAATCTGATCATTTCATTTTCCTTTTGGGGAAAATAAAAGCATGCAAGTTTCAAATACGCTGCATTTTCTTGGAATCCTCATTTCATCCTTGTTTTATTAGTCAGGGCTCAGCTTTTCTGACTGCTTGTGGCACAGATACAAAATTGTAACATATGATGCAGACTCACTGAAAGTTTGCCTTGGTTTCCCTTCCTTGTAGAGATCTTCCATGGTCTGGACACCCTCACCGTGATGGGCATCGCGTTTGCAGCGTTTGTGATCGGAGCACTCCTGACGGGAGCCTTGTGGTACATCTATTCTCACACAGGTGAGTGTGACTGTTGGATAGTCGTTGCTGTGCATCCTTTGTGTCTGCCACACATCCGACCTTTCAGGGTTTCATTGCATGGATGAATGGATGAAATGATGAATGAGAGAGAAAGTTCATCCCCACTGTTTGCACATGTACATATTTGGCATAAATGGGGTTTTGCAAAAACACAGTATGCTTGCACCATTAGAAGAGGAATGTTCTGAGGCACCTGGGTGGCTCAGTCATTTGGACGTCCAACTTCAGCTGAGGGCATAATCTCATAGCTCATGAGTTCGAGCCACACATCGGGCTCTGTGCTGGTGGTTCGGAGCCTGGAGACTGCTTCAGATTCTGTGTCTGTCTTTCTCTCTCTCTCTGTTCCTTCACTGCTAGCGCTCACGAGCTCGCTCTCTCTCCCTCTCTCTCAAAAATAAATATTGTTTAAAAAAAGAAAGAAAAGAAAAATGTTCAAGCTATGTTAATTGCAGTTGAGATGTTGGTCAAGTTTAGCTTCTAATAAAGCTGTTTTGTGGTTAGGGTTGAATTAAAGAAAATTAAAAGAAATGCAAACCCTTCCCTCAAAGCTAAAGACTTCGGTGCAGACATATGAGTGGGCAGGAAGTGAAAAAGGAAGCGAAGATTTTATTATCCTTTCTGCCAAGAGGTTGGGCACTGCCCACCAGAGTCCCTAGTCTCGGTGGCTTACACCAGAATTTACTGACCCTTTTAAAACCCATGCCATGTCCTCTTTGATAAGCATAAAATTCTCATGTCTTCTATAAAATTATTTAAATTTTTAAAGTGTATTTTCATGATTTGCAAACAAAAATGGTGAAACAAGGCACTTTGTTTTCAAGCTGTGCTCCTCCTCCCCCTAAATTCTGATATGCGCCCCCCTCTTTGTCTCTTCCACTGAATCCTGAGGTTGAAACATTCTGGCCTGAACACAGAACTTGTCCAACCCCAGTACAGAACGCAGGCCTGACAAGGGGGGAGGCTAGTGTGATGGGGGAGGAACAAATGGACCGCCCTTCTGTTGCTGCTTGTCTTAGTTTCCTTGCAGATGGACGTAGGAAAGAAAGACATGCGTTTTGGGATATGTCTAGTAAGCTACTTGGTCTTATGTGTCCTTGGATACTTTCAGTTTATACTGCGAATCCAGGTAAATTGTCCTTGATTGATCAGCCCCAGGCCAGTGACAGATTCGGCCTTTCTTGTTAGAATTTCATTAATTTTCCATTGAACAAATGAGTGCCATGATCTTTGGCCTTAACACGAGCCATTCAACCAGACAAGCTGAAAAGATGACTGCTTTAAAGGGAGGCGGACAGAGCATGGAAGGGCATTTTGAGACGCCATCACTTTTTTTTTTAATAGTGTATTTATTTTTGAGACAGAGAGAGACAGAGGATGAGTGGGGAAGGGGCAGAGAGAGAGAGGGAGACACAGAACATGAAACAGGCTCCAGGCTCCGAGCTATCAGCATAGAACCTGACACGGGGCTCGAACCCACGAACCGTGATATCATGACCTCAGCCGAAGTCGGACACTCAACCGACTAAGCCACCCAGGCGCCCCGAGACACCATCTCTTACTCCCTAACCAGAATTTTTACTTTAAATATTCTTTCCCCCAGCTGAGAAATTTTAGATATGGCTGAAGGAGACCAGGTCCATTTGTGCCTAGCATGGGAGGTCTCACAATCCAAAGCAAAAGCTTAGGAGGTGTGATAGAGGGGCTTGAGTCCTCAAATTATTATTCCTAATCGGCACTGTTTGAGTGAGGTATATTTTATGTGAAAGAGGAAAATGAGGCTCTTAATCCTAAATGTAACGATTCTGAGGCAATGCAAACCTCTGGGAATCAGTTGAGGCATATTCTTCCTCATGAACAGTTCATACAAGCACCAGAAGGGACCGCTTGTAGCAGAGTAGCGTTTTTGAGTAAGTAATTTGTCAGAGGCGTACTGATACGTTCAGATCTCACGCTAGCAGTTCCTTGGAATCTTTCCCAATCTCCTGTCTGGCTGTGAGGTTCTAGGGCCGTTGGCAGCTTATGCTATATGTTGGGAATGAACTTGAAACCATGCCAGAAAGACTCTGTGGCCCTGATGATTTTATATGGGCTGGTTATCCACCTATGCTTAACAGGTGCCTGCTGAGCCGTGACTGCCTTGTCCATAGAGCTACACCCTCAAACCCTGGAAGTTCATCTCAGGCTGGGTAGGGCCCGGCTGCCGGGGCCAGGCAGTATCGGGCTGCCACATGGCACTCACTGTTGGCACCCACCCCACTAAACTCGCTCCGATAATCCCAGACTCTTGTGCAGAGCCAGAGTCACAAACCTGATAAAAAGCAAAGCTTGGTTTTATGGCACTTATTGCTCTGCTCATGAAATTCCAAGGTTTGTCATTCCTGCTCCCTTCTCCCGCAAACCAGAGACTGAAGGGCAGCGGTTTTTACATTTTGTTAATAAAGAAACAGGTTTGGAAGTAGATTAAAGAAAAACAGAACCAAAAACCCTTCCTGTTATGGTTTCCAGAGCAATATAAATTACACTGATTTGGAAGCTAAAAGGTTTATAGACACTGTCGTTTGGGCTCTAAACCTGCTAGCATCACATATGATGCAGCTTCAGAATGACTTTTTATTAGAAGCTGTAGCCTCTGGTTCATTTTAAAGACTTCTCGTAAGGAAAACCAACATCATGTAAGTGAGAAAAAGACTCACTTCAGAATCCAGTAGTACTATCCTGTCCAACTCCTTCAGTTTCCTACCTGGATCAGCTCGCAGCAAGGTTAGATGAAAAGAGATTCTAATGCAGTAGTCAATGGAGAGAGGTGTGTATACAGACCCAGACTGAATACATTCAGCATCCACCATAATCTAAGCTGTGAAACTCAGACCTTGTATGGTATATTTAGGGGTCCAAGCAGCATCTGCCTCTATGTCAAAAACAATCCCTAATTTAGACACATTCTCTTTGATTATGCTTTTCATTCCATCTGAGCACAGAGCACAAAACCAAGTGACACGTTTGAATTGTGGATATATTCTTACATACCTGGAACGTGTGTTAGTCTAAAAAAGCTGGGTCCATCCTCTGTCATATCACAGCTTTGGGCGCCATAAGCGATACCTCCTGATGGCTATATTAACTCTGGGAAACTCCATTCCTAAACCTTACAGTATCTACTAAGATGCCACAAAGATGAGCAACAGTCAGAATAGAAACGGTGCTGGAAAGGAACCGTAGAATCTTCATGCTCCTGCGAGCCTGGCTAGTGCAGGAGTCCCAAATCTATAGTCCTTGAAGGTCCCAACAATCATATGCAGAATTGTTTTTTACAAGAGAGGCAAAAGTGTTTACTTTTATTTTTTAGTAAAACTTTTTACCCCTATCACAGTAGCACGTGCACATAGTTTAAAGACTGAAAGAGTTCGACAAGACTTGTTAGAAGAATGTGAGTCCCCTACTGCCTGACTCCCTTTTCTTGCTCCTCAGAGCACCATTCCTGACTCTTAGATTATTGTTTGGGACATTAATCCATATATCAAAATAATAGAAGTATAGTATTGCTACTTCTTGACTTAACAGCTTTAGGCTTTTTCTGTTAACCTTTTACAAGGAAAATGATAATTCAGTTCTTTGTCATCACTGAGTCCCAATAATACATTCATGCCCATTTGTCCCCCTAACCCCACCATCCTCTTAACAGAATTATAGTGAAATTTTGGGTACATCAGTATTTACTGTTTACATTATGACTACCTAAATACTAATCACAGTTTAGCTGTGTAGTATATTTTTCCTGCATGACTTTTAATTTTCCCTAGAATTAATGATTATTTCTCCCCTCCCGCTCACATTAGCTTAGTTTTTTTAACCCCTTTTTTATTTTAATATTTATTTATTTATTATTTGAGAGAGAGCAAGAGGGCTCACATGAGCAGGGGAGGGGCAGAGAAAGAGAGAGAGAATCCCAGGCAGGCTAGACACCCAGCACAGAGCCTGATGCAGGGCTCCAACCCATGATCCTGGGATCATGACCTCAGCCCAAACCAAGAGTCAGATGTTCAATTGACTGACCCACCCAGGCACCCAGCTTAGTTTTCTGTACACTTCTCACTGATTCATCAGTTGACTCTGCCAGTTGTCTCAGTCTCTTCTGAATGCATTCTGACAACAGTATTCCACGTATTCATTTTCTTTACTAAATCTTCTCTGGAGCCTTTTTACCTGTTCCTGTCTGAACTGGTTGCCCTCTATGTTTGGACACTTCTGTCTTCGTGTATTCTTTCCCTGCTGTTCTGGAAATTCCCTGCACCTTGGAGTTTTGAATGGCCTGTGTCATGCATCCCATGTCTTCCTCCTCCTTTGTCAAAAGGGTACATAAGAAGTAAATATTTGTCACACCTTGCATATCTGAAAATATCCGTAGCTTATACAAACACTTGGTGGGTAGTTTGGCAAGGTATAGAATTTTAGGTCATAAATAATTTTTCTTTAAAATTTTAGAAGCACCCCTCATTGAAATTTGGCTCTGAAGATTACTTTTGGGAAACTCAAAATTTCATTTCCATTCAAATTCCTAGCCTGTTTTGTTTTGTTTTTTTCTGGAAGAAATTTTACAGTGACAGTCCTTGATTTAGGTGGATTTCCTATATTATGCTGGCTGTTAATGAGCTCTTTCTGTCTAGAAATTCATGTCCTCCAGCACTGAGATTTTTGGAATCATTTGTTTTTTCTCATGTTTTTCTCGGTTCTTTCATTCTAGAAATCATTTTAAAGATGAACCTCTTGAGTGGCCCCCTAATTTTCCTTTCTTTTACGTTTTCTACTTTTTCCTTTATTTTCAAAGAGATTTTGTCATCTTTATCTTTTAGTTTCCAACTGAATTTTTAAATACTGCATTCAAATGTTTTAATTCGAAGACATTTTTCCTATGAATTAAAAATATTGATCTTATTCTTATGGGTATAACATCTTATCCCTCTGAGAATACTAATATAGAA